GGGCATACAGCATCCTGTTTACTACCTTAGTGGAACGCAGGACCAGCTATAAGTCTTGTGTGATCTACTTGAGGGTTGTATGGATAAAAGCAGATCATGTGTAGGTGGAGGCTTTTGTTCATATGCCGTACATGTGGCAATATGCATGGTGGTCATCAATGGCATCTTTTGGTTTTGAAATAATGCTAGCTTTGTGGAATTGGAATTTCTGAAACATGCATGAACCTTATCGTTGACTACTATAAATATGCAAGCAATGCAGCAAGTTCTACGTAAAAATCGAGCTAGATCAATGGTAGTACTTAGCTAGATGTTGAAGGATGATCAATGAAATGCAGTTTGGTTCTGTATTGTCGTCTTGCATGAAGAGATAGAGAGTGGATTTGAGCCAAGGATGACTTGCCGCAAATGCATGGTCCTTGGGTGACACGTTAAGGGGGTTTTGGTGGCAGGCATCCTTGGCTCTACTTCGCTCTGTATTTCCTCATGCCAGATTAATTAATTCCCCATTGCTTCCACAATGCCATGATTTTCGACAACCAACAAGAGGGGTTATATGTTCTTCTGATTTTAGTTACATAATTAGGTAAGTTTTTTTTTTTTTTTTTTAAAGTCAGGTATGGTACTTCGTGTGTGTGTATATATATATATATATATATATATATATATATATATATATATTTAAAAAAATTAGGCATTTATTTATCTATTAAAATTATAATTTTCTCTGTTTAGGTCAAGATTACAATTTTATTTTTGTCTAAATTCTAAAGTAAATGGACTTCTAAATGCAGTATTTCTTTAGTGATCCTTGTAGGACCTTGAACAAGCTATATATGAAAAGATGGAAGGCACTATTTGTATAGACAATCAAAGACAAAAGTATGCTAATTATATATGTAGATTGTAATTTGCATTGAAATTTTAGTTAAAAGATAATAATTAATGCTCAAAAATTAAAAGCGCCCACCGTGGGGCTCGAACCCACGACCACAAGGTTAAGAGCCTTGCGCTCTACCAACTGAGCTAGACGGGCTGTTGATGACGTCGGTTCTGTACTATTTTAAATTCGTTGACCAAGAAAAACAAGAACTGCATGTTGTAAAAGCCCAATGTTTGCCGGACAAAAGAGACCACTGGCCCAAAACTAGAGTAAATTATAAATTTGTCCCTCTAGTTTCATTACAAATTAATTAGTTCCCTTTATTCAAAAACTTTTATTTAGTATTTTGAACAGTGTTATCATGATTAACTTAATTTTATTTTTATTTTATAAAATGTATTCTTTTCTTATCAATCTTTTCATTTTTTTCTATTTCTTAACATAAAAAATCAACATAAATTTAAAACGAGAAAAAAAATTAAATTACAAATAGATTTAAAAACATACAGACTAAATACTTAATTTTAAAACAAAAAAATTTATTTATTTATTTCTTAAAAAAAGAGGGACTAATTTATAATTTACTCAAAAAAAACTAGTTATCTACAGATTCTATACAGACTTGTAGAATTAGGCTCTTAAATCAACCGTCCCGAGAGACGAGGCAAGAAAGAAAGCATTGGATGATTGAACATCGTAACCATAAAAATCTCTTGTACCATTTCCTATTAGATTTGCTTGGCATGGCCCACAAGCACATAGATTTATTATATGGAATAGTGAACATTGCAATATGGGACATTTTGGCATTTAAATAAAATTTTTTGCTTAGACTACAATCCATGAAACTAAAATCATTGTTCTTAAGAATGGGTTAATCGATGAATATATCTTTTAGGTTAATTCTCTAATTTATTTTTGTATCTTTTATTAAATTAATTTTATTTTTCAAGTTTCTAATATATCATTATGACAAAATTTATAAACTAAACTACTATAAAGCTTTTAATTTTATTAGTTTATAGAAATATTTTAGGAATAAAATATAATCATATGCAAATCACGTGAATAATTATGATAACTTGACCTGAAATTCTTAATTAAATTTAACGATAAAATTAAATTAATTAAAAAATAAGAAATTATATTACTGTCTAAAAACGAATTGAGTCATTAACTCTTAAATGAGTTTGTTTAACTTGGACCAACAAAAAGGATTATTGTCCCTTATCATATGAAACCATCTTGAATGTTTTAATGATGGTGGGCTAAAAACCCATTTATCTTGATGGGCTCCGGGCTCTAGGCTTTTGACATATCCGTTAAAATGCTCACAAACTTTTCCAAAATATTCATTTAATGAAAAAAACCCAAAAAATAAAATCAGAAAATAAAAGGATTGTCCTCGGAAAAAAAAAAAAAAAAAAAGAGGAGGCCATTTATATATTGGGAAAAAGCCCAAAAAGGCTGGATTTCTCTAGAAGTGATTACATGTTTCAGAATAAGGGTGGAGCAGAAAAACTAAAATGTAACTTTTCCAGGATGAAAGAATTATATATTATATTTAATAAAAAAGGACCACCAAGCTGGAATAGCTCAGTTGGCTAGAGCGTGTGGCTGTTAACCACAAGGTCGGAGGTTCAAGCCCTCCTTCTAGCGAATTGTATATTTCTCTTTTGCTTCATATTTTCTCAAACTTCTAATGGACACTTTGGGAATCCAAAAAATAAAAATATTTTTTTATTTATATTTTCTCAAACTATGGGAATTCAAAAAATCAAAATTAGAATTTTACTTTTTCAAAAGGCAACTTTGCTCCTAAAACATAAAAAGCTTGATTGTGGCATCGTTGTTTATGTTGATAAAATAAATCTCATACCCCGAATCATATTCGGTCTAACGACTTTTAAATCTTTTAAGTCAATTTAAACTTTTCAAGACCATATTCCCCAAATAATTTGAAATTAATCCAAGAAAGGCAGCCAAGCATTTAGGACATGCCTCAACTACCATATATAGATATTTTCACATTTTCAAATACACGGTAAAAAAATTTAAGGGATGTTTAGTATCATTTCCATTTTTTAATTTTTATGTCTTTTAAATTTTTGAAAAAAAAATATTTGATTTTGTTTTTTGTTCTCAAAAAATAAAAACAAGCAAAAATGAAAATAAAAAGATTTCAAAACCATTTTTAAACTGTTGATTTGAAAGTTAAATTAGGTTTGATATGTTAAAAAATCTCTGTTGATACTATTTAAAATTGAATACTACTTATAGTTTTTTTAAAACCTTATTTAAGCGCTTTGAATGATATCGACGTTCCCTAGGTTTCTTTTAGAATAAGATATTTCTTGTTTAGCGTACCTACCAAATAGCTGGAATAGCTCAGTTGGCTAGAGCGTGTGGCTGTTAACCACAAGGTCGGAGGTTCAAGCCCTCCTTCTAGCGAATTTGTTTTCCGTATCTTTTGTTCAGAATTTTTTTTTTTTTTTCATAAAGAATGAAAGCTTGGCTGTGGCTTCCGTATTTATGTTGATAAAATAAATTCTCAATCCTGAATCCTATTCCATCTAATGACACTTGAATCCTTGAAGTCAATTTAGATTTTCAAGACCAAATTTCTGAGATAATTTGAGATTAATCCAGGAAAGTCAGCCAAGCAATATTCCGGGAATGCATTATCAGAATATGTTGGAATTAAAACAAGTGAGTATAAGTTTTCAATCCATACCGACCACACGTCCTAAAAATTTTAAGTAAATGCTTTTATATGATATTAAATTTTTTTATTTGTTTTTTTATTTTTAATTATATTTTATTTATTTTTGAAAATACTTGAAATGTTCAATATGTTTTTCTAATTAATTTTTTTGATTAAAAATACTCTTAATTAAAATAAAAAGAAGAAGATAATACTTATATAATAGGATAATACTTCAATATATTTTTACATCCCTAATTTAATTAATTTTATTTTTTAATATATATTAAGTTTCTAATATATCTTTAGGATAAGTTTTTCAAGTTAAACTATCAAAATTAATCACATGATTTTCATATGAAAGCCTTTCAATTATTTGCAAGAGCATTATGAGAATAAAAAATAATTATGGTTAAATCACATGACTAATTCAAATAATTTGATGTAAAAATCTTATTGAAAGGATGAATTAGAAACTTAACAAATTTATTAGAATAAAATTGACTCAATTATAAATATAAAATCAAATTAAAACATTATTGTATTATGTAAAGACTGATGAAGCCATAACTTTTTTTTTCTTTTTTTGTTGTTGTGGTTTAAACAAAGAAAAATCAACAAATCGTTATCATAATTATTGAAAACTATTTTGTTTGATTTTGAAAATTAAAAAATTGAGAAACGATTATAGTTTTTTACATTTTTCAAAAAAAAAAAAAAAAAAAAACAGAAAATGGAAAATAACATACCAAACGACCTCTAACTCTTTTGTAGTTGACTATATATTTAACCAACCTTTAATACTCATCCCCAAATACTTCCTTAAAATTAGGTCAATATTGCATGCAGGTGAGGATACATAGAGAGAGAACAATTTATCAAACACTTCTCAATCACAAAAGTAACATACACTCACTTGGGGCAGAGAGAAAGAAGGAATCTATGAAACTAATCTAACTGGCCATGCAGATGCCTTACATATGACTATAAGAGATGGAACCTTATCGTACCAGTCTATCTGAAATCCCAAGAATAAATTCCCGTTGACATATTATATTGTCCCTGTTTCTGATATCTTTCAATGTTAATATGGATGACAAGAGAATATAAATGTATACGTGGAGTTAGTTGCATTGATACCCTTAGGTGGCTTGATGGAACTTGGCAAGAGATTTGCAATTCTAGCTATTCCGTGATTATTTTGGCCTATAAATATGTAAACAATGCTGCACCAGATTATTGAGCTTAAGACAAGTAGAGATTAAGAGTAGAGAAGAAGAAAAGAGTAGAGAGAAGTTCCATTTCAGGGACTAATGTAAGGGGCAATATTGAAGCTTCTTGATGATTAATTATCTTGAGCGTCTTGCATGAAGAGATAAAGAGTAGAGTTCGAGCCAAGAATGACTTGCCGGCATGCTGGCATTTGCTACAAGCAATAAAATGAGTATTCCGCCAGGTTGTTCTTGGCTCTACTTTGCTCTTTGTTTTCTCATGTGAGCCTCTCAAGAGCCAAGTGAATGCCAATGGCACCTAAAGCCCAGACCTTTGAACTGTATTTTCATCTTTGCGAAGGATTTATTCTTTATTATTATTATTTTTTTTTATGTTATTTTGTTTTGTGTGTTGCTAAACATATGTTATATGTATCGTTTTTTTTTTAATGTTTTTTTTCGTTGTTAGTATAAAAGATATGTGTGTAGTCTCATATCTATCATCGAATTATATTTCGCATCAATTGAGACTAAGTGAAGAACACGTTTAATCTTTAATTGATATTGCATTTTACTATTTCTTAAGCCAATCAATCAAATTCTGAAATCATTAAAAAATAATTAAGACTAATTATTCTTATAAAGTAAGAATTAAATTTTAGTTTTGATCAAACCAAAACAATTATCTTATTGCTAGACTATGTCCTTTGGTGGTGACTTTTTTGGAATGTTATTAGCTAGTTTATTTTTATGTTATTTTAACAAGAAGTCCAGCAGATCTTGAGTTACATAATTAACGAAGATAGTCTTGTTTTAGTTTCAAGATCACTAGCATTTCTTGGATTTAAATCGACTATTCCTTGAGATTAATGTTTCTAGTTTATTAAAGTTCTTTCTTGTAACTTAGTATCGAATGAAGACTACTATAAATACATTATTTGGTATTCTTAATAACTTGTAATTTACATGTACTCTTGCGAAAGTGAGAGAAGGATGAGATTTTGTGTTCAAGTCCATTTTGTCTATTTATCGTTAAGAAAATTTGACAATCCAAATCTGGACTATTTCATGTTTTTTAATTCATATAGAAATTATATTTTCGAACTGGATTTTACGTAAATCTAGAGCTTTCCATCTGAAGCTCTTATGGGGCATCCTTTCTAAGGTGCCATTCCCGGACAAGGATTAGCTTCTGACCTTCTGACCTTCTTGCCTTTGCCTCTTCTTCTTGGTAGAGCTTCTTATCTTTCTTCTCCAAGCCAGCCATCTGATCCGGCCTCAGAAGGTGCTGATATTTCTGTATTGCTCAAGAGGTCTGACAGCAGCAAGGGGCCTGTTGTTCAAGGCAGGACTTTGTCTGCTGGAGCTGAAATCAATGGAGGAAGATGCAGATGTACTACGATGCCCATGGAGAAATCATCACAAGTAATGGTGGAGGTCAAACCTTAAAAAACATGAAGCCGACACGAAGTCAAGAATCTTTTTTGCTAAAGTGTAAGAATATTTCCCAGTTAGAAGATAGAAGTAGTGGTCCATATCTATATGGCTGTATCCGATATATACGGGAAGAATCCAGGGGACAAAACCTGACGAACAATGTCCATCAATTTGGACTACGATCCTTTTAAGTTGACAGAAGGAAGGAGGCATATATACCTTGTAGTGATACTTTTGACACTGAAAATGTCATCTAGTAGTAGAAAGGTGCTAGTTTACGGTGGAGAGAGAAGTCAAGTACAAGAGTGATTGGTGAAATGAATGGGATGGTTTTCAAGATAAATTCGCGAACATTTCCAATAAAATAAAATAAAAAAGTTAACCAACCAACATTTAGAATTCTTCTCTATGAATGGACTTTTTGGGGTTGACAAATAGGAGAAAAGGGTTCAACGAAAACTAAACAAACTAGTCAATTTCTGCTAGATTAGATTAATTGGGTAAAAAGTACTCAACCAGTCAACCTCCTCCCTATCACTCAAAAGGTTAAATAATTTAAAGCATTTGGAGGCGGAGACGAATAATGAATTTGGATATCCCGAGTTGGAGGTGGGTGGAGCACAAAACAGACCGAAGGCCCACTTTACAAATACGCAATAACCGGGCCTATTTTTCTCTAGCCCACCAATTTAATTTATCAAGCTCATTAGCCAGAACCTTCCTTAAGGGCCCGGCCCATTGAACGAACGATCATTGATGGGCCCAACAACGTATTTCTTGCGATAGGAACAAATAGGCGATCATATCACACAATAAAGGCAAAAGGAGTTTGAAGTTTCTCTTTTAATATTTTTAACCAAAAAAAAAAAACATTGAGATTTCTTTTATTTGATGTTTCTCTCTGGTTTTCAAGTATTGATGACTTGTAGTAAGAGTACAGAATCATCTGTGGCTACTCATCGACGCAGACATCAAGTTTTGGCTTGAGTTTGGAACAGGATAAAAATAAAGGCGGATTCAATGCCAGCCTTGTTTATTTCGAATAAATACATATTAAGGTTCAAGGAGTCGGCAATCTATGCTTTAAATGGTTAGCTTTTTTGCACCAAGGTCATAGCCAAAACTAGCTACAATTTTGTTGAGCCATTACCCCAACAACGTTCAATCTACTGAGATTGCGAGGAGACGGTTGGACAGCCATGCAAAATTGACCAGATCAGACCTAATAAACCTGACGAAACAAGCTTCCTATATCTATAGCGAATTCAGCTCCTCCAGCAAAATGAAATGTAAACACTGGAAATTCTATGAGATCTCGGTCTCTATCCCCTTATAGCATAAGATTGATGGATCGATATCTTGAGGAACATTGAAACGTCGAAACTTTCCGTCAATCAAAGTACTCCTTACTTCATTGCTTAATGGACCATACGCAGCATCTACTAGTTACGTAGCTTAGAGTAGAACCTGAGTAAATCAGCACCCCACCTGCAATTTGAGGATCCATCTGAAAGACTTTTGGGTCAATATTAAGAGTTTTTTCTCCAACACTAATGCTTTGCATGGTTAGATAGTAACGGGAATTGAAAACATGCATCTAGAGGGGTTGAATCACCTTGTGTTATGGCTGTATCCCCTAACACTAACGAACAATTTATGGGCGTATATAGGATCATAAATATTGCCAATGCAATAAGAGAATTTAGGCCGAAATTGTGTGAAAATAACACTATCAGCACCTAAGCCTAGTATTCCACTAAGTTGGCCATCTCTCCCTGTGTTATCGCAACCACAGCCAAAAAATAACAGAAGGAATAGAAGTACTTCCCTCATCAGATTACTTAGAGTACTACCTGAATGCATGGCTAAAATTTTCTCCACCGGTGGCTCACCAGTGGACGAATTCACCAAAAAATTGGAAGCAAAGTCCTCAGCAACGACGCAAGCACGAACATATATCCTCCGTGTGAGCTAAAGACCAAGTCCTTGCTAAGTATCCAAAACGTGCAATAGATCTTTCATGGACTAGTCTAGCAACTCGCAATAGAAATTTCGTCAGCTGGTTAGTTCTGGATCATAATTTAGAGGTTGTCAAAATAAGTAATTAAGATTTAAAAAAAAAAAACAAGAAAAAGCTTAATCTTCTTGAAGTTTTTCGTTGTTATTCGTATGTTTAGCAATTACGTTTTTAATATAAACGGTAAAGTTATTTTCCTTCTATGCTTCTACAAATAACCAAAAAAAAAAAAAACAAACAAAAAAAAACTTAGATTACTGAATTCCATTTTAACATTCTGTGACCCTTTCCAAAAGGGTCATAATAGACCTAATGCTGTAGTGAAGGCAAAAAATATATATATAAAGAATGAGATGAAAATAAAAATTTGTTGCTAAATTAAATTTAAAAAGCATGAAGTTAAGTGGAAAGGAATTATTAATAATAAGAAATAAAGTAATGCTATTTTTGCATAATGGTCTTTCCATGGGAAATCTAGATTCCAAATCCTTAAGGAAACGAAAGCTCAAAACAAATTTCCATAGCCAAAAACGCAAAACCAATACCAAAACTTTCAAAGGTTTAAGCCTAATCACAATCCATGATTTTCAAGACACATAAAAGGAAAAAAGGGAAAAGAAAAGGAAAAAGTTGTAAATAGATTTGGTGGACCCATACATAATAAGAAAGAAAAAAAAAGTATAATGTGATTGTTTTTTATCTATCTTTTTCTTTTTAAGGATCCAATAAAATAAGTATTGATAATTATTTTAAAGTATCTTAAAATTTTCAGTAGAACATGGAACTCTAATAAAATTTTGGCAACCATAAAATATTTTTATAACAAAAAAAAAAAAATTACCTCATAACAAGATGTGTTCTAAAAAAAATATTATTTCGTATTTTTTTCCTATTATTTTCAATTTCCATGTCACATTAATTGTTTGTCTATTACAAAAGACTTTAAAAGATGTGGGGTGAAGCTATTCATGCACTCGTTGATCCCCACACAAAACACTATGGACGGCCCTGTTCATACGATATTGTTTTCGTCCACGGTGTTTTCTTTTTCTTTTTTAATTTTGCACCCTCCTTTGCTTTTCTAATCACAATGCTACTATTGTTATTTTTATTCTTTACCTCCTTAACCTTCTCTTTTAATCTCCTCCTCCTTCTCTATTCACCATCTGCTAATTTTTCTTAAAAATCACTAAATTATTAATCAAAATCCCTCACTCCATATCCTATAATAAAATCTCACACCATCAAACGGTGGGGAGCTAAAACAATCACAATAAGAAGCAACAGGAAACAAAATAGCATAAAAAAACACAAGGAAAGGGAATTAGTCTCAATCAATTGAATTCATCAAGAAAAAAAAAGCGATAGGGAACCAAAAAGGAGGGAATCTGCTCTAAAAATTAAAATCAAATAAAAAACAGAAAAAAAAATAGAGAGGAATTTTTACCTAATTGTTAAAACGGCGACACCTCTCCATCATCATCATCATCAATCCGAATGTCCCCCTCCACTCTCACACACACACATCAATTTTGTATTTGTTTAACTCGAATAGAGGGTTTGAATTTAAAAATTAAATTAGAATTTTTGAGAATTTAGGGTTCTTGACAATTAGGGTTTTAGGATTTAGAGATTTTTGTTGTGGATTGAAATTAAGGTTGAATAATAGAAAGGAAGGCTAATAGAACTTAATTGGAGTTTCATTTCGGTGTTTAAACCATGAATTGAACCCGAATTAAATGAGGTTGAAACATAGGGTTTCGAGATCTTCAACAACGAATAAAAATTAAGGGTTTTGAAAATAATTATTTATTTAGGTTTGAATTAGCTTGATCTCAAAAGAAATTAAGCCAATTAAGGCCATTTGAAAGGAAAAATTGAAAAACAAAAAACTTAGGGTTCGGCCAAATTGGAAAAAATTTTCAATTTGGAATTTTGATTTAATTTGAAAAGGGAGATTAATAGGGTGAGAGGGAAAGAAGGATTAAGAGTGAAAGGAGGAAAGAATGACTAGAAATCTCCGGTTCGTTTCTTCCATGAATCGAGAAGAAAAAGAGAAAAAGAAAGAGATGAGGCCCATAGAGAGAGAGGAATAAGAAGAAGAAAGACGGAGAAAAAAAAAAAGAAGAAAAAGAGAAAGAGGGACGAACCATTATCGGTTCGTCCATGGAAGGCGAGAAAGAGAGGAAGAAGAAGGGGAAGGAAGGAAGAAGAGAGAGAGAGAGAGAGCAATCGGATGAAAGAAGAGGAAAAAAGAGAAAAAAAGGTTTTTTTTTTTTTTTTTTTGTGTTTTTGGGTTGGGCTAGGCCAAACCCGTGTGTGATTGGGTTGAGCCGACTTCGACTCGGTCTAAAAAAGGGGAGGGGAGAAAAGAGTTGAGCTTGATCGATTCCATATAAATTAAGGATTACTTTTTTTTTTTTTTTTACTTGTATAGTAAATAAGTCAAAAAAAAAAAATCCTTAATTTGTATAGTGTAATTAATGTTTTTCAATCTTAGGAGTTTTTGATATATTTTAGCCAAAAAAAAAAAAATTATAAAGAATCATAAAAGAAAGAGGTGGGATTTTTATTATTTTTAGACTATTCACATACTCACAACATTTTTTGTTATTTTAAGTTTTTTATGCATTTATTCCGCATACATTACTTTTTTCCCTCAACTACTAATTTTGAGATTTTTTTTTAGACATTCTATACGTAACGTTTTGCTATGTTGGTTTTTGGTCTTTCATTTTTTAACAATTTTTATTTCGATTTGCAATTTTATTTGTATTATAATCTGGTTACTAATTGCTAAGAGGAGAGAAAACGAAGCAAGATGAGGGAGGAGAGAGAAATCTATCTACGAATTTTTAATAATTTTTTAGAATATTGTTATTTACTCTTTTAAAAAAATTTAATATAATTTATATGATGGAATTTTTTATTGTTATATATATATATATCAATTTTTTTTTTACAAAATAAGATTAAAGGTATTCTTTAAATAATTTTTCTTACATTTTTTTTGAAAAAAATTATATGAAAAGTTTTTATTTAAGAGTCCATGAATTTTAGAATTTTTATTACAAGTTATCGGTTAAGAATTTGAATATAAAAAAATAACTTGTGTTCTTTTTTGCATAAAATTTATAAAAAACAGAATAAATATTTTTTTACATGTAGAATTTTTAAAAAATAATAGTTTTGTTTTTATCTTTTCTTTAATTATTTTAGTGACTAATAATGTAATACATATCATCAAATTAAAATTATTTTTTAAAATAAAATTTTATAAGTTTTATCCGAATCACGGCAGTAGTGCGGGTAAAAAACTAGTTTGCTACTAATGTGGCAAAAGGTATCCTATTTTAATAATTAAGTTTAATATTGCTCTGTTTACAAATAAAATAAAATAAAATTACCCTCCATGTTCATAACCTCTCTGGTATTATAATAAAATTACCCTCTATGTTGAAAATCTCTTCCTTTTGGTGGGTTGTTGCCGAGATAGAGAGTGCAACATTGGTGGAAAAACAAAGAGGTTTTTCGTCTTTTTTATTTGTATAAATTGCAATAACAAAGAAACAAAGTTTTTTTTTTCAATAAATATTAGATTTATTGATTTTTTAGTACCACACTTACAGAAAATTGTGGTGTTTAAGGTGATCTTTTTGCAACAGTATTAGATTTGCAAAAATACATACAAAAGTGTGAGAAAATATATCTTCCCTTTATTGAACACATTTTATAATTGCTGAAAGTATAAGACCACTCTTGTCCCTCCATCGGATATCTCAAATGTCAATTCTTGGATGGCAAGATGTCTCATTGATGATCTACAATCAACATTGTTCATGAGATAAAGATAACCTTATTTGGATGGTACGAAAATTCGTGGTCTGAATTGTATGAAAAGTTGTCATTTGAAAATATTATATTGGACCTAATAAATTGTTTTTATAAATGATGCTAAGTTGCTGAATAGGTGGTTGACATCCCAACTATGACATGAGCTTCATGAGCTTATGATAACAAGTCATTAATTAGGATCTTCTATTTGTAGGCAAAGGTTTTGGTCTTGTGGCTGAGGGCAAAGTTAAAGGATTATGGAAATCAATAAATTTGAAATGCGAAAGAGGAGGAAATGGCTACAGAATTCTTTCACTTTTTTGTAAGTGTTTCTTATCTTTAATGTATAATATGACTATAGCAGAAGGAGAAAATTTATATGAAGCATGAGTAACTTGGAGACATTTGTCACATAAAAAGTATGTGCAATATCTTAACTAATTTGGGTCTTATTAGTAATTTGTATGAGCTAACTAGTTGAAAAGGCACATTCAAGTGGATTCATGGCATATTATGTGACATATTGTTTTTTTTTTTAATAGGTGCTCGGTTAGAACACGCTTAGTTTTTATAAATTACTAGATTATTAGATAACTATATCAGCTTTTTACGTTTGATTGAATCGTAAAAAATTAGTCCGCATTTTGAGGCCTTTCATACCTTAAAGATAAAATAATAATTATTATTATTATTATAGCTAATTATCTATTAATAGTGAAGACTAAATTTTGATTTTGACCATACCAAAGTAATTCTGTTATTACTCAACCACACTCTTTGGTGGTAAATGATCTCTAGATTTAAAATGATAACTAAAGTTTTCTTGTATAATTTTTAAAGAAATCTAATGAAAAATGAAAGATTTTAGATATTATATAAAAATAGATTGATATATTTACTCAAAAAATTTTTTTTACTAAATTAAAGATAACAAGCGTGAGCTGAAGTGGAAAAGAATTATTAACAATAAGAAATATAATATCGCTATTTTCACATAGTGATCTGTCCATAGAAAATCTAGATTCCAAATTCTTAAGAAAACCAAAGCCCAAAACAAGTTTCCATATCCAAAAACCCAAAACCAATACTAAAACTTTCAAAGGTCTAAGCCCAAATCAAAATCCATGATTTTCAAAAGACATAAAAGGAAGAGAGGGAAATGAAAAGGAATAGATTTGGTGGACCAAAAAATGGCAAACTCCTTTAGATTTAGATTCGTCCGAATAATTATACTGCCATATAAATTAGAAATAAATGAATTCTTTTCAATATTTTTGTGGCTTTATATGGAAATTCCAGGAATGGAGAAAAAACAAAAGAAGAACATTAAACAAGAAAATTATAAATTAGTCCCTTTAGTTTTTTAAAAAATGAATTAATTAGTTTTCCTAGCTTCAAAAACTATTATTTAGTTTTTTCACTAGTATTAACCGTATTTAATTTATATTATTTTTATTCCATAAAATATCTTTTTTTCTCATTAATCTTTTTATTTTTAAAAAATAAAATAAAATAAATTGAAAATGAGTTTAAAAAGAAGAAGAAGCTACATTACAATCAGATTTTAAAATATAGGAATTAAATGATTAGTTTTTGAATAAAAAAATAATTAATTCGTTTTTTGAAATTAGAGGGACTAATTTATAATTTACTCAACATTAAAGTAACCATTTGTTTTTTTTAACTAAGGGAAAAAAAAAGGAGAACTAATATTTCAACAACCGTTTTTCCTAGTACTATTTGTAAAACGTAAGTCAAAAGGTTTCTTTGTCTTTCCATCTGGTTCCTGTCGGTTCGGATTCTACTTCCATGGCAGTCTCCATAAAACCATTGCTCATCTTGTCAATAATAGCATTTTCTTTCACCTATATTACGTCAGAGCCACTACCAGAGCTAGAGCCAGAGCCAGAACCTCAACATTTTTCTTTGGAAAACGTACTTGACCAACTCAAGTCCCATATTTCTTTGTTAGGTTCTCTCTCTCTCTCTCTCTCTCTGTGATATTGTTAGTGCAACATGGGCTCTGCTGTGTAGTGGCTTTTGGATAGATTGGTCTGTTTGGTTGCTGATAAAGTGTGTGTGTGTGTGTGGTAGTGATCGAGAATATTTTGTATATATTGCAATGGAATTAATTATTAATCTTTTTGCTAATACTAGGTGCATGGAACTAGCTCCTTAAGACAAAATCTGATATATTTTATTCCCAGAGAATGATTGAAAATTGTAATCCAAATTGGAACTCTCTCATAGGTGCCTTCCACTTTAATGTTCTTTCTGAGTTACTATTTTTTTTGTTATTTTATTGATTACTATATTTCTGTTCCAATCATCTTATCAACCTCCCAATGATTAAAAAATGAGGAAAATTTATAATATAAAAATGAGGAAACTTTTTCATGATTTTTAGACAAATTTGAAGAGTTTTTGGCAAAACACCCTTGGCTCGAGTGGTGTAGATATGATGTTGAGAATGTAAATCTGATGGTTTAAAGATATAGCAGACTCTTTGCTCTTAGATTTTCCCTGTAAATTCTCGGCATTTACTTGTAGCATATTACTTTGGGAGGATGGCATGAGGAAACTAGCTAGCGGTTCCTCTTTATCTTTCATTTTTCACTTCGCCAAGGTGGATCTTCACATTTTGTTGTGCATTTATATTAACTTTAGATACTTTATGTAGTGTTGAGCTTGACTATTCAGTGACAATGATCTTTCTGATTCTTCACATTGTTAAAGAGTCGAGGATTGACGAAAGAGCCCGGGAACTGAGAAGAAAGGAAGAGAAGATTAGACAGATGGAGATGATTATTCATGAGAAATCTGAAAGAATCGAATTGTTACAGAGTGAGACAGAATCTCTCCAGGTACGGTTAATTTCCAGACATTAGCTAATTGTTTTCATCTGAAATTAATTTTCTTCTGCATGTGAATTTATTTTTATTAGCCATAAGGGTCCATAGATGTGAAGGAAAAGCCAAGTAAATCATATGCTAGGGTTGGTGAACTTAAGAAACATGTTGGTTGCCATGATCTACCTTTCTAGCAACTTACATGGAACAGTGCTTTTAAGATTTAGCTCTTCGTGACAGGTTGACAAACTCAGAAAGCAAGCAGAATCACAAAGTCAGAAAAATGATGCTGTTGAAATCCGAGCAAATGTAGCTGAGAAAAAAATCAAGGAGATTAGTTCAAAATTAGAAACTGTAAGTAATGTTCCTGGACTTAGTTTTTTGCTGAGATCATTCCTGTTTCTTTTTCGATTCTGTTTTCATTTCAAAAATATTATAAGTATTCTGCACGTTGCACCTACGCAATTTGTCTCTTCTCACTGATACTAGGTAGGAATTTTAGATTTCTCTAGTTACATGATTGCCTGAACGCAAAACATATATGTTTCATGTTCTGAATTTCTGTCTTGCGAAAGATCCGTAACCTTGGCCTGAATGAGAGTCAGAATTTCTTACGTTGGAGCAATATTGGGTATAGTTCGCGAACTGATTAGACTAATTAAGTTTGGCAGACTAATCCTGTTGCATTTTTCTTTTAGCTTGGCAGAGAGGCTTGAATATGACATTGTTCTACTTCCATTTTCTTTTCTTTCTTTTTTCTCCAGCTTCAAAAGGTTAATGATGAACAGAAGAATAGAATCCATGAAACTGAATATGCCCGACAATTAGTGGAGGTTTGTTAATAGTTTATCTACTGATAATCTGGAGTTCTTCAATACAGTACTTGGTGATGTTAATGTTTTTGTGTTGATAGAAAGAAACAATGAAGCTGAAATTTGATCAGATTCTCAGAGAATGGCTTCCACATTGGCTTGCAGTTCATTTTTCCAATTTTCAGGTAAATAATGTTGTTTCAAGCATATCTGGAGTTGATGTTTTTCTCCAAGAAAACTTCATGTTTCTCATTCATTCGTTTTTCCATAAGCAGTACTACGTGGTGACTCATTGGAATGAACATGGGAGACAAGCCTGGGACATGAGAGTCCAGAAGGTTTGATATTAGATTGTCTTAGTAATAAATTGCCAGAGAGATGTTGTATTGAAGAATCCAACTTATTCTACATAATACCAGTTGACTGATTTCACAATTTGATCACCAGGTGCTAGAAAAGAAATCTCAAATTGATAAGTGGGCAGAGCCCCACTTCGAAGCAATTTATATTGTAAGCTGTCCAAACACCTTCCTTGTCATTTCCTTATTATCACATTTCTTGATCGGCTGAGATTAAGGTCACTGTTTAGAAGTTTGTCTAACTATATATACTTTGTGTTTCTTGCTAAAAAAGTAAAAACAAAGTCCAACTTCTAACACTCTTGATAAATTTCCTGAAAGCAAACTCTATTTGTAAAAATTCCTTTGTTCTAATTCCTTTTAAATCGCCTGTCTTAGTCCTATGCAAGCAAATATAGCAACAAAGAATCCAAAAAGATGAAGATTTCGGTTAATTTATACATTTTGCTTCACATTCATATTGAAGTGTTAAAATTCTGGGGAAATCAAGTGGATAGTTTAGTCTGATTCTTATGTCCATCTCTCATTGTCAAGAAATTGATGCCGATGTTCAAGGACTGGTGGTTTAACTGTATAAGCTATCTTAGGACATGCATTCCACCACTATTTACTAAGTCTCATGAGCTCTTCCATACATTGAAGAATTCTGCATTACATCATGCTATCAACATACAAGAAATGGTTGATCCTTACTTGAAGGTAAGACAGAAGAATTTGAAACCTTTTTCCCCTAAATTGTTGTCATCTGGTAGACTTTTCTTCCAATGACGAGGGCATTTTCTGGCAGGAAGCACGCAAGTTTACTGAACCATACATCAATCAGCTTGCAACAATGACAAGACCTCATCTTGATAAAGTTCATGTTGTCTTGAAGCCATATACTAGAAGAATGCTTCGAGCTTATAAAATTTTTGCCAGATCCGCTACCGTATACCATCATCAGGTAGCGGTTTTATGTTCTTCCATTACCTTATTATTTAAAAGCTCATTTGGTTCTAAGTTTTTTACTCTTACGTACGAAAATCTGCTTGTATGTTTCCCATAGGAGACAGAATGTCTCAAAGAAAATTAACTTGCTAGCAAAACCATTTTTTTAAGTCTCCTCAAGAAGTAGCTCTATGTGCTGCAATCTCACAAAAGCTTTTATTTTACTTTTCATTATGTTAAGGTTGAAAAAATGCTTAAGAAGAACGAGCTAACGAGATCCCTTGCGACTATAGAGCTAGCGTGGTTTGCGGTATGTATTCTTTAAGCCAGAGATTTCATAAATGTTGGAACAAAAGAACAAATGATTAAAAAGCTGTTGTTATGTTCATTTGTGTAGGCCTCTGCAATACTGACCATACCTGCTATCTTTATGTTTAAACTTTATTCTGCTATCTTCAGGTTTGTTATAATTTTTAGGTACTTCAATAATTGTTGTTATTTCTAGTTGTTACATTGCTGCTCTTCTACTGTGATTTTGAGAAAAAATATTTGGTTTTTGACCTTCTAGGAAAAAGGCTAAGAAGCATCATCATAGTTCCCACACTCATCACCTGCGTCGTGGAGCGAAAAGGAGTCATGCTGCTAGGTGAAACCAAAGATGGTGTCTGTGTGTGCATTTTAAGTACCAAATTCAAGGTATGATGAATACTTCAAATATAATGAGGATGATGAATTCATTTTTGAATTATTGCATAGATTGTGGCCAAATTCAAGGTGTGATGAATCTTCAAATGTAATGTGGATGATGACTTTATTCTATGTTCTTTATTTTCTGCAGTTTGCAAGATTTGCACATAATCCATGTATTTTTGGAGCAGACTATTGTCAACATCAGTATCTAATCCTGCATTTGGAGGGGAATGGTTTCATTTGGGAAAAAAAATTCTTTGATTTTGAAACAAGAATTTTTAGTGATTCAGAGATTCTTTTTGATGCATGAAGGTTGCAGCAAATTATATGATGAAATAGAAGTGAATTCTCTTTTCTGATTTTTGGTCCTTTTTGTGTACCGATTATTATGATCTGATAGATTAGCTTTGATATTTGCTTGGATTTCAAGGCAGAAAATAAGAGTTCAATTCTCATGGAAATACACTAAAATTGCAACTACCTATGCGCCTTTGATCAACAGCTCAGATGATCGAAGAAGATGACACTGAGAATAAACTTGTGCAACTTTTATATCAGCAACAACAACAGCAACTAAATGTTTCTGCTGTTTTTCGGAGAGTACATATTCCACAATAACATAAACAAACTAAAACTTGTGGACCAATATATTTCAGCACCCAAGTAAACTAGCAGGTGTCAACATCATCTAAATCTCTGGTTCAAGAACGTTTTTTGATTGTCATGAACAGGCTCTCTCTCCCTCCATATGTGTGTTTTGCATCATATATGAATTAGATATAAAAAATGTCAACTTTGTAAGAACTTGAAACCTTAGGTTGAATTAATCTTCTCCTTACTATCCGAACCAACTCTCAATAGAAAACTGGTGAATTCTTCAATACTTTTTAGTGAAATATTTTTCTTTCTACTCGTTTTCTTCCGATTAATTTTTTTTTTTTTTAATTAGCTCATGTATATTCTCATTTTGTTTTTCATTTTCCTCCTAAACAAATTGGATGGTGATGATTAATAATAATAATAAGTGTGCACATGCATTTGCAGGAAGATTGGAACAAACTCACATTCGGATTGATTCCAATTTCATGGCAAGATGTGCTGCTGTTTTTTAATCCCAATCACATGCTATGATAATTCATACATTGTCTGTTGCAATCACGGTACAATGTTTGTTGACTTTAAGGATTGTCAATGTTATTGTTGTAAATTAACTTGTAATGCAATTTAAACTATTGATAATGATTTTAGCATATTATTATTGAGTTATTTGTACTTATTAGGAGATCTATTGTTTTACTAATTATTGGTTACTAACACTAATTCCTCACTACTTAACAATACAGGAAAAAAAAATGCTATTGTTAATGATTCAGCATTGGTTAAAACCCAGAAGAAAAATGATTTAGCTACGGTGACAATTAAGCAAAAAGAGGTGAGATAGAGTGGAAAGATATAAATATAATTAACCACTCAATTATTAAATACGTGTCTCAAGTTAGAAAATAAAAATAATTACTTGTGCCATGAAAGAAAAAAAAAAAAACAAGGGAGACAGGGGAGTTTATGATTTATTTATTGAGACTTTCGTTGAATCTAGCTAGGAGCACAAAATACTCACTCTCCTAAATCCCTACATATAAAATTAGAAACCTTTTATTTTACAATAATCTTAAAAAAGTTTAAACTTAATTAATTAAGACGGACTTGTTAAGAATGTGGAGGTATGAGAAATTTTAAAATACTAATATAATAACTAGCAATACTTACTCTATAAGTCCACTTAGATGAGAAAAATAAATACAAAAAAAAAAAAAAGATAATCATATTCAAACCGAGTCAATTATAAATTAGTTCTTCTTATTTAAAAAAAAATTAATTAGTTCATTTCGTTTTAAAAGTCAATTATTTAGTTTTTATAGTTTAATTATGTCAATAACTTAGTTTTCTATGAGTTGTTTTTGTTAGATTAGTGATTTGTTTCTAAAAAAATTACCATTTATATGATGTCTTATCTCTCTCATTTATACACTCTTTTTGCCTCTTCAACCAAAAATCAAATGAAAGGTAATTTGAAAACAAAAATCTTTAATCTAATAAAAAATAATAAAATAATTAAATTATTGACAAAATTAAAATACAGAGAACTAAATGATTATTTAAAAAAAAAGACTAATTAATTTGTTTCTCCAAACAAGAGAAACTGCTTTATAATTTACTCCGTCTAGATCTACCAGAAAAAGATAAAAATATTTTTATTTAGACTCAATTTTTTTTTAGACTTTTATTTTTTCCTGTCTTGTTTGTATCGATTTCTTTCTTATAAAATAAATATTGTTAGTTATTATATAAGTAAGTAATATATATATATATATATAGGATGGGCTTTAGGACATGATAGGTGATTATTTGGCAATAAGCAGATGGGATTTTATGGATTTCGGGGACAGCTCTCTAAGGAAGGAGTTTAAGAATAATCTAATTATGAGGTGATTAGCATATGGTTGCACAAAAAGACTTAACCATGACAGCTAATTAGGATCTTTTTTTAGTAAGATAAGAAAGATGGATCTAAAGTTTTCAACATATTTGGAGCAGTTGACCTTTATTTCATTTTTTTAATTCAACTTGTCAGAATAAACAATTGAAAGAAACAAAAATCGACGATAAAAATTAATGTTGAAAAAAGAGTGTTTAATTTTAATAAATAAGTCCATAACTATTGATTAAAAAATCCCATTATTCTATACCTGATATTAAAGCAGCAAAGGAATCTGTGTCGAAGTAATAAAAAGTAATATTTTTAGTAAATCAATAAATATACTGTAGCGAGCTTGCTGATTTTTCCGATTCAAAATTTAGCTTAATCACTCACTTGCTACCCATTAATCCAATGGGCTTTTTTTTTTTTTTTTTTTAAAATCAAACTCAAAATATAATGGGCTGGATTTACCCCATATACACACACATATACATACACGTGTATATGCGTGTGTATGTATGTAATTTTTCCTATAATTTTTAAGAATTGCAAAGATTGTGGTTTCAACTGTCAGAGGTTGTCTTGATTTGATTAAATTCAAAGTTTAATTTTTATTATTTATATATAATTAGTTATAATTATTTTGTAGCAGTATCTGATTTTAATTTATTATTGATTTAATTTATAAAACAATAAATTTATTCTTGATTGATGTAAAAATAATTTACGAAATTGATATGATGATTATATATATATGTGTGTGTGTGAATTTATCTGCAATTTTGATGTCGTAACATGTGAGGGTTTTTTTTTTTTTTTCCTAACTTGATGATAGCAAGATTAAGTACTTAACTAAAAATCAAATTAATTGTATAAATTATTATTATCTAACAAAAATTGATGTAATAAAGTTAATTTTACTAATTAGTTGTATGTTTGAAATCAACTTAATAAAAACCTATAATATACAAATCACATTTCTTAGTGCTATTTACTCCTCCTCTCTCTCTATCCATGTATACACGACTTACATTTCTTCAGTGCTATTTGCGCTTTGTCTGTGATTTTTTTATTTAAGGATTCATATACACTCATTTTTAATTACAATTAGTGTGTAAAAAAACAAAATTGTTCCGTTTTACTTACAAATAATGTTAACACAACAACAACGTGTGTGTAATCGATTAGTTCTAGATTAAGTATAAATATTACAAACAATTTTTTTTAAAAAAAATATTCAGAATATCTGCAAGTTAGCTTTTAAGTCATTTTCGATCCAACTTAAATAAACTATTTATATTTTGATTAGTATATGGATGAAAAAAATTAAATTTAATATATATATATATATATATATATATATATAATTTAAATAAAAAATGGTAAACAAACTCATTTATCACTTGATCCTGCTATTCAAGAATAAAAAAAATTGTAGTAAATCATTTTATATTGTTTTCATTATATATATAGGAAGGGACTTGAGTAATTTAACTTTGTGTTTGGCATATGATTACCTTAGAAGCAAATCCCAAATCCATGAAAAGGTCTTCTCTTTTATCCTGCCTTATGTGTCACGTTTAGGGTTTACCTTTCAATGGTCAAAATTCAACCCACAGACTCCGAATTTGATTTTAGATATTGTCAACACTAATTCAATTGAATTTAAAAAAAAAAAATACATTGCATTGACCATTCTGCTTCTAGAAATTAACAATACCTGATTTAATTCAAGAAAAAATGGTTGTGTTCTGGAACAAAATTTATGAACAGAAAGAAAGAATGAGAATATGTTTTGTTTATCATTTACGATGAAATCCATTGAATCATGAACCAGAAAAAAAAAAAAACCATGGGTCTAAAACTTAAAAAAAGAAGAAGAGTAATTAAGTTTAAGAAATGGTTTAATATTTAATTTTTATATTAGTGTGATCAACTAATTTCGATGCACAAAAATTAAAAAGAAAAGAACAATAAAATCATATTTTATTATTATAGCATAAGACTAGTTTGCATAAAATCATTTTATTTTAATTTCTCATGTTATATTATACGTTTATTAAAACATATCAAATTAAAATCGAATAAAAATTCATTAAATTTTATCATATTTTAATTATAATTTTATATTTAATTAATTATTTTTTATAATTTTATAAATTTTTTATTAAAAAAATATTATTTATTTATCTATATATATGCAATGAATAATAAACAATAATTTTAGTTTAATTTTTTTTATTAATAGCTGGAGCCATGGTACCAGTCAAGGCTTGTTAAGGTCAATAGATAATAGCTGACGTCCTACACGTGAAGAAATGTGTCATGTGTATGTGGGTCCCCATCAAACGCCCATTGATCCAATATTAATTGAAAAGAAAAAAAAGTTCATGATTAGTAAATAGCAAGCATGAAAAATTAATGGTATGTAGCTAAGCACATTTGCATTTTTTTTTAGTCGAAATCTTGTAATTAGTATTTAAGACCATTCAAATTCGCAAAATACATCATGTTAATGTCAAAATGCATTTTTAAAATGTTCAAATAAAAAACTTAGTTTTGACTAATACACATACTAATTCAAACCAATCATATTTGTTTATGTAATTGTTTAACCTTCGAATGCTATAAAAAGCAAATAAATATACTTTCATGTAATTGTTTAAAATTTGAATCTCATAAAAGGTTTATAAAAAATAATTTCTCTTCAATATTAAGAAGATTATTAATTGTTATGTTATATTAAAATTTTTTTATTTATACTTCTCTAAAAAAATATATTTCTTAAATTATTAGTCATTAAATTTAATCTTTTATTATATAGAACCAATATTAATTAGAAATATTTTAAAAGACATACCACTTAAAATTTTGATAAAAAAAACATTTTAAAAAAGGGATCAATAGAGAAAACAAATAATTTTTTAGAACAGAAAAAAATATATAAATGGGATGCAAAAATGTTGTAAAGATGCTCTTATGTCTTATCAATAAGCCAAAATTGAAAAAAAAGAAATGGAAGTATTGTATTACCAAGTACATTCAATGGCCATTATTAGTTGGCTTCTTCGTATTTGCTAGGAACGGTGAGATCGATCAAATCAATGCGAGACCTTTCCTTTTCCTTTCCGAGAAAGTTTAAAAATTAATTAAATTAATTAGAACAAAACTATGCAATTGTCTCATTTGGCAATTAACTAATCTTAGTTTGACCCGTTTGGCTAGCCTGCAAGAACATGGAGTAAGATCAGAAATTAAATTATTACTTTATTTATTTATCTTCAGAATAAATGTAAAATATACATTTGTTGGAGGGCAATGAAATCGTTGCAAGAAATTGAGTATTTTTTTTTCTTTAGAAAAGATTGAAGTTTTTTTATTTATTTATTTGTGTTTGATTATGACAAGTAGGATCCTAATATTTAGGGATTATTGTCTGATGCAATAATTAAATGTTTGAAAGAATTAGTACTAAAAATTAATTCTAATGATTGAAACTGTAATAATTGAAAAAAAATAAATTTTATTGATTTTATTTTATTTTGTGTTTCCTACAAATAATTCATTACATAGATAACTATATTCAAACGTAAATAAATAACTATACAATGAAAATTAACTGCATGTTTTTATCCTATTTTTACCTACGACAAATTTATTATTTTGTCATTTGTTACACGAAAAGAAAAAAAAGAAAAAAAAGAAAAAGAAAACTTTGTGCGATGAAATGAAATTTCCATTAATAAATTATATTGTATAGTTTATTGTTGTCTTATTTCTTGTTTGAATTGTTCCAACATTGTTTTTCATGTACCTAATCATCTATGAAAAAATTGAACAAATCAATAAAAATTCAAACCCAATTCCCTGTACTAAAGCCAAAAAACTCCTACACTTTGATCTAGTCAAAGATCCATCTTTATAAACAATATTTTAATAGTTATAACAATAAATTTTCTTATTTTTTGACCAATGGTGTCTTAATTTATTATTATTATTAGGAAATTAAGCCTTCTCCTTCAAATCTAGGCTAAGATTTGAAACACATCAACAAGACAAAAACTATAAATTCTTAACCATAATAATATAATATTTTTTGGGTTTGGGATCATCAAATTAGTGTATATATAATCAATAAAAATATTTGTGGTTTTTTTTTTCACTTGTAAATATGTGGGGATCAAAATTTAAGGTACATGCTTCTATGAGTGAACCTAAATACGAGTAAATCATAAATTGGTCTCTCTATTTTTTTAAAAATAGGTTAATTAGTTTCTCTTGCTTAAAAAATTAATCATTTAGTTTTTTAACCAATGTTGATTACACTTAATTTAATATTATTTTATTTTATAAAATATCCTATTTTTTGTTTATTTTTTATTTTTTAAAATCAAAATAAATTAAAAAGAGTAAAAATAATTAACTCAAAAGAAAATTTAAAAATAAATAATTAGTTTTTAAATTAAGAAAGACTAAATAATTTGTTTCTCAAATAAAAAAAAACTAATCAATTAATCTTTTGACCAACATTGATCACGTTTAATTTAATATTAATTTATTTTACATAATCCCATCATTTTTCATAATTTTATTATTTTTCTCTTTCTATATTTTTTAAAATTAAAAAAAATTAAAAATATAAAGACTAAATAATTAATTGTTTGAAAAAATAAAAAAGGAAACAAAAATCAATGATAAGACTCAAATTAAAACTTTACGTTAGATGAATCTTTTTCTTGCCGTATAAATGACAAGGAAATCAAAAAATAAATTCATAAGAGGGGTGTTTAAGTCATTTCACCTCCTTCATTTCCCCATTCATTTGGAACCACAGTTATGCTTTTGTCATTTCCGAAAAGGTAATAAAATCACATTTCCTAGTTTTTCGTAATAATATTAAATCATATTAATTAATTAATTAAGAAATATAATTCGCCGGCTTGAATTTGTTTCTTGTTTTTCGGTTTGGAACAACTGATGATACTACATAAGACTTTCTTATTTCTTACATAGAGAGAGAAAGAGAGGAAAAAATTTATATAAAGAGAGAGAAGGAAAGGAAAAGCCACAAAACTACAGAGAGAAGAAGAAACACAAAACACAACACAAACGAATCATACGAAGACACCAACACAGAAAGTCTCCTTTCCTTCTATTTATAAATACAAGGTCTTTCCCTTTCTGGGACGTTGTGTAGTATTTTATTTTTTATTTTTTGGTGGTTTTGGGTGGCCCCAGATCTTGAACAGCCAATAAGGAAGAGAAAGATTTGATCTTTTTGAATCAAGGTTTTGAATAGATTGAAGATTTTGAGATCTGGGTTCTTCTTTGTTCAGCTTTATCAGGTATTGTTATTGTTGTTTTTCTTGTTTTACTCTCGTTCATTGTGTGTGATTTTTTATGGGAAGAGATTTTGGTTCTTGTTTCTTGATTGGTTTTTTGAGAGAAGGAAGTGGAAGGAGGGGAAAGAATGAATCTTTAGACGCTTGTATGTTTGTGTTGATATTAGGAATTGTCGTATGGGTGCATGGATCTAAGTGAGTGTTTTAGGCTGGTTGAGTGAATGGCTAATTGAGTGTTCTTTTTTTTGTTTATGTCTTGTTTGGTTGAGTTTTCTTGGAAACCAAACAGGGGTGGGAGTGAAAGTGTGGAAAATTTGAATTTTTGGAAGGGAAGGGGTTGACTAAAGTGCAATTGAGTGTGCATTTTGATTTTGTATTTGGATTTTGAACGAGTCATTGGTTTTGGGTTTGGTTTGGAACTGCAGAAGGGTGTGTTGGATTGGTTTGACTTTTCTTTTTTAGGCTTTTGTTTTTTATATGTATTTATTGGTGAAGTAGAGAATATGGGTTTGATTTTAGTAGTTGGGCAAATTTTGAGGACTTTGAATTGTTAATATCCAATTTGGCCCTTGTTTTTTAAAGTTTCTTGATCTTGTTTTTTATTTGATCTGTTGTTATTGTTTGATTCTTATCTTAATTGCTCAAAAAGCACGCACCTTTTGCTCTGTTTGTTTGCTTACAAAAGGTAGGAAGAAGAGGGAATGGATTTAAAGATTTTGAGTAATTTAGATTTTGTGCTATTAGCAAAGTGAATTTCAAGTGCCATCCAATTGAACTTGATTTGACTGTAAAGGTGCTTTTGACATTACACTCTTGTTTTTTTTTTCCTTTCATACTTTTAGATACTAACCTACTACATTTCTTTTGTTTTGGTGTTTTAAATTAGGACTTCTTGCCTCGGTTAATGATTTTGTTATTATTTCTCTTTTGATCAGTTTGGGTTAATGATGGCTTGATTGTGTTATTTTTCCTCATTTTATTTCACGAGGGTGTATCTGCAAACAAAATGTTTTTTCTATTTGATATTGCAAAGCATTGAGGAACCTCTGATTAATTGTTTTCCACTTGTTAAGATGCAAACTTATTTCTCTTCTTATATTTGTTTCTCAGGTTTATGCTTAATTATTAATTATGGAAAGTGGCATTTTAATGCTTTGAATATTCATTGACGGATTATCTTAGACCAATTAATTATTTGTACCTTTTGACTTCAGACTTCAGATTTTTCTCTCTCTATATTGGAGAATCCTGCTTGCTTTCAAGTCCTAATTTTTTGTTTGAGAGAGAGCGGTGAAATGTGGCTGTGAGGAAAGGGATGCATCATTGGGACTTTCTTTTCTGATGTGCTTGTATTAGATGAAGACATCTCAAGTGTGGCATCTAGGCATGGGTGATATGCAGGTCTTGCCTGGAGCTCGCCACCGCCCTCCTTTGAAGAGGCCAATGTGGATTATTGTTTTGGTTTCAATGGTCAGCTTGTTTCTAGTCTGTGCGTATATCTATCCACCACAAAGCAGTAATGCTTGTTATGTATTTTCAACGAGAGGTTGCAATGTTATAAGAGATTGGCTTCCACCTGCTCCTGCAAGGGAACTTACGGATGAAGAAATTGCTTCTCGTATTGTGGTCAGGGAAATTTTAAATACACCTCATACTCCAACAAAAAAATCGAAAATTGCTTTTATGTTTTTGAGTCCTGGTTCATTACCTTTCGAGAGACTCTGGGACAAATTTTTCTCTGTGAGCTTTCTATCTCACTTTTATGTTAAATTTGCATTTCTTTTCTAGACGTTCTGTTCTTGTTCAATTGCTTTTTGAATTTTTATCAACCATTGCCTTTAAAGCTATTGGATTAAAGAAATTTTTTCTTAGTTGTGATTTATAAATTTCACAAGCATATATGGAGCTCATGCATGTTCATGTTGTTGACCAGCTTCCTTAGTAGATACTAAACATGTTTGAACTATTCACCTATCTTGAATTTGTAGATAAGGCTTTATCTCTGTATTAATGAATCATCATTTCTTAGCTTGTCCATGTATTCATTTTTTAATGCATCTTTACCCAAAATGGAAAGGCTAGAAAATTGGCACATTTCATTAGCAAGAGGACTCGTCTCACTATTCTATTATAGATAAGATGGTTTTGATGAATGCTTAAATGATTTGGTAGGCGAGGATGAAAGCAACTTTGTTTAAGGTAGTTCTGTTGGAAAGGTTTTGCATGCATGTCAAGGAAACAAATGTAAAAGAACTATTGAAGGGAAAAAGCTTACTGATAGACATCATTTTCTTTGTATTAGATCTGTGAATATGTTTGAAGATATGACACCAGAACTCCAGATGTAGTAGTACAAATAATCTTGTTTGGAAGCTTATTTAACAGAGACTCATTTCCAGCACTTCTAGTTGGAGATGTGATTAATTTTATTTTGTACATGATGTTGATGGTGTAGTTAAGATATTGGTGACAGGATGCTAATAAGTTGTAATAAATGTCAAAACTGCTAATTTTTGTTGTGGGATTTCCTTTTTTATCATATGTTCAGTTACACTCTAATATTATTAAAATTGTATCTGTAGCTGAAGCTAATTCATTTTTTTCTGGCAGGGTCACGAGGATAGATTCTCTGTTTATGTGCATGCATCCAAGGAAAAACCAGTACATGTGAGCCGTTACTTTGTTAATCGAGATGTACGCAGTGACCAGGTCTGTAAATTTAATGTCAATGTATCATGTGTTTTAGGATTTTCATATACTTAATATATTAGCGTTTTACTTTGACTTTCCACATTTTTGGATGTATATTTAAAAGAATATCTTCTTGCCTTTCCACTTTTTTCCTATTTGTTGCATTTGTTTCAGGGCTTTGTGACCCCTTATTTTCTTCATTAATTTTCGGCTATATATTGTCTTTTGCTTTCTGTTACCTGGTCTTCTTTCAATGTAACATATTGATTAGATATTTTCTAGGTTCAGATTCCCCCTTTTCAAGGGTAGTCAGAAGGCTGATGATTTTTTAAATAAACTTATAGGGTTAGTGGCTTATTTTGTATCTGGAGCTCATAACAAAATAAAACATTTTAGATGAGTTAATAGGATTTGGCTTCTTTTAATCCACCCGTATATAGGATGATTTTTTGGGATAATGCCTTAGTGTGCTTGGAGTTCTGTTCCCTCTATAAAGTGTTATCTGCCTTTCCCTGATTGACCATTTTCCCCTACTTTGTTCATAATGTCAAGTGTCAGCCTTTGAAAGATGAATCAGTGGTGGTCTGATTCCTTCATCAGTTGTCCATCTGTTCCGAAATTCGCCCTCTCTAATGACGATGAACCAAAACATCATCATTAATCTTGTAAAAACGAGCCTGTTTGCTATATATGAAGCTGTGGAACAAATTTTGACAGATTGGTGGGAAAATCTAACATGTCATTAGACATAATGAAAACTATATTTTGTAACATGTGTTTCTTTGACTGAAAAACAGATGCCATATCACTTAAGTTAAAGTTAGGGATCTGACACACAACTAATCAATTCTGGCATGGGAAATTTTTGCAGGTGATATGGGGAAAAATTTCAATGGTTGATGCGGAGAGACGCCTATTGGCAAATGCTCTTAGAGATCCTGATAACCAACACTTTGTGTTACTTTCTGATAGGTATTGAATTATATCTTTTGTAAGTTTTATCCATTCAATCTAGAAACAACCCAAATTTGATATAACTTTTAGCAACCTTACTTACTGATCAGCTCTCTTCTGATATTGCAGTTGTGTGCCCTTGTATAAGTTTGATTACATCTACAACTATCTGATGTACACAAATATAAGCTATGTTGATTGGTAAGCACAATTATCTTACATGGTAGTTACCTTGTGTACTTTGTTGCATAAGGTTCTCCTGTCGGTTATTACTTATATAAAAATGTTGTTGTTTGGACTGCCAGATATCAATCACAAATGAAATGGAGCAAAATTGAGGATCTTTATGTTTCAACTGGTCCTGTTTTCTCGTTTCTGATGAATGTGCTTTTGTTTTCAGCTTTTACGATCCTGGCCCTCATGGGAATGGCAGATATTCAGAGCACATGCTACCTGAAGTTGAGATGAAAGACTTTAGAAAGGGTGCACAGGTATACTTCGTCCGAGTCACTTTGGCCATATTTTTTATGGTCACCCTGTTCATTCTGCCAGGGGTAAAGAAAGAAAATAATGCAGTATATCTGTTTCATATTTTCCCTTATTGTCTGCATGAACATGCCATACCAGTAGAAGGCCACATGAAAATGCCTATTGTAATTCCTAATGGTCATGATCATGCCTTAGCTCTTGGCTATTCACCCATAAGTGTGGGTCCTTGATGTAATGTTTTACAAAGTCAAGAGGCATAGAAACATGTGTGTGTGACTTCTGAATATGGTGTCATGTTTACAATGGAGCTCTTGGGTTAGATATGCAGCATATGCTAATATAGAGCACATTGGTTCAAATTCTGTTGGTGTCTTTTCACAGTTTTTAATGAATGAACTTTTATGCAGTGGTTCTCAATGAAGCGACAACATGCTGTGATAGTTATGGCCGACTACCTTTACTATTCAAAATTCCGCGATTACTGCAAGGTAGGTTTTCCTTAATTCTGACTTAAGTTAATAATTTGTATTAGTTGTTTCGTCTGTTCTATATGGCTTGCATCCTATTCCAACAGCCACAGAGCTGCATGCATGTATATGGTTGCTTTATTTTTTCATGGTACTCATTGTGTCTCGTGAGTGTAGTTTAAGAATTTGGTTTGCTGAATGCACCCTTAGTTATTGATTCTCATGGTGGAATTGTTTTTGGGAAACAAAAAAGATGTAAGAGATCTTCCTAAATGTTTGATCCATGTAGTCTTTCATTGCATTGGTCATACAACTCTAATATTAGGAGTCGTATTCAGAATAATGAATTCGTTATTTGCACATGATTGATGCATGCTTTAATTTTTGGTTTGAAGATTCATTTATTCTTTCATTATAATTTCTTGATTATTTTTCCATTTCTTTCGTTTCTTCTGTGTGTTTTTTTTTTTTTTCCTCATACACTTGGATTGCAATTTGAGAACTCAGTACAACCGGTCTGCATCTCTTTTACCTACAAAATATTATAAGCATTGCATGTAACTATTGTTCCTGGAACCATATCAGATTCTCACAACATGGGTGGGTAACATTGTATAATAATGTTATGATATCATTGCTGGATGGTGGAGGGATGATCTAAATCGAAATTGTATAACATTCAGCTTAAGATTGGACCCTTCTTTCATGTTTTAAGCTCAATTAATGGCCACACCAACTTTCATTTATTTTGCATTTGTTAACTGTATGACCATGTTCAAATGTTTAATGACTATTCTTGCTTGTGGGATTTTGGAGTTTCTAATTTTTTTTCTGATTATGATACTCACATGGATTTTTTACATAATTTCAGCCTGGCTTGGAAGGGAAAAATTGCATTGCTGATGAACATTATTTGCCTACCTTCTTCAATGTGAGAATATTCTTCAATATTCCATCAACTTTACCTTCCATATCCTGGTTTCTCATTATGAGATTCCTTTTTATATGTGTATTCAGATAGTTGATCCTGGTGGAATTGCAAACTGGTCAGTAACACATGTTGATTGGTCTGAGAGAAAGTGGCATCCAAAATTGTATAGGGATCAGGATGTTACTGATGACCTTCTGAAGAATATTACGGTACAGTCTTGCTTCATATTTAAGTTTATCTTGTTGAAATCTGGTACTGCTATTGGTATTTTTGGTGAGAGTTTGGTTTATCTCTGGTACTGTAGTTTTAAGTTCTTTCCAGACATTGCTGAATAGGAGTGATTGCAGTTTACTAACATCCATCAAATAGCACTCCTTTCCTTCCAAATGGCCAAATTTTCAATTACTATTCCCTTGCCTCCCCTTTGTATAACACTGTAACACGACATGATTGGTCTTCACAACTTGGATTGGATCATTTACTGCCTTTCTCTAGGTTGGCATGCCAATTCTTAATTCTCTATCATATATTTATTTTTCTCTTTTAATCTTTTTGTGTCTCCAAGTGGTGGGTGGGGGGTGACTCTTTTAGGAGTCAGAACCTCTGACCAGGTTGTGTGATGCAGCAGGTCATTACTGATCGGTCTTAAGGTCTATTGGTAGTTCCTGTTACATTTGTAGTCATTATTCTTAAGGATATTTTTTTTGTTGAACTATGTTTTCCTTATGGACTTGATTGTAACACTTGGAATGTTATCTTTCTGCAGTCAATCGATTTGAGTATTCATGTGACAAGTGATGAAAAGGTACAATTTTTAAAAGGCTTTTTGGGTACCCATTCTTTCGTAAGTTGTTGACTGACATCTATTTTTTTTCCTCCCCTTGGGCTTTTATAGAAGGAAGTGCAGGTGCAGCCTTGCCTATGGAATGGTATCACACGGCCGTGTTACCTTTTTGCGAGGAAATTCCACCCAGAAACTATTGATAGTTTGTTGAAGCTTTTCTCCAATTACACAGCACTTTAAGTGAGATAGTTTTGACTCTCAAATTCTTTGGTCGAATCGACAGTTGCCTTCGACCATCCACTCCCATCTTGGTTTCTCATTAAATCTTACAAGTTACAAATTTGTAAATGTTGTGTCATCGAGGTGTGAATGTTCCGTTCCCCTAGCACAATTCTTGTGTGCAAGGGCAACTTGGAGAGCTGTTAGGATGACTTTAGATGGGTTGGAGGCTAACAGTTAGTTAGTGTTGCTTCCACAGGAGTGGGTGATTTGTTATCCATTTTTTCCCTTCATTTTGGGCCTTAGTGTTCTTCTTTGGTATAGTGAATTTTGACGATTTATTTTTAGTTCTTTTAATGGTTGGATATTTTGTAAAAATTGAAAGAACTTGGTACAACTCATTTGAAAATTTACCAGAAGCTTTAGATCAAAATTGTGTAAATTTTTTAAAAATGTACATGATGTGTGTCAGCTTATTATCCCTTTATCCTGCTTTCCTTTTGAATTATGTAACTGTAGAATAGTCTTCAAAATTACCGAATTTTAGGACATCTCACCTGGATAAGCACCATAGATCAGCAGTGGCTTGAGCTGGAAAAACGGAAAAGAAAAAAAAAAAAAAGAAACCTTTTGGATCAAACAATGGTGCTTGCTGAATGTTGATGGCTGTCTTGGTAATACTTTTATTCTGATGCCAATGCTAAGTATCAGAAAGTATTCCCTGAAGTCCTAATGGAAATTTCTTGGTGCCGGTGGCATTTTGATGGCACTGAAAATGTCGGAACTTTACATCTGAATAACATGGTAAAGCAAACTTTACATCTGACAAGGGAGTAGCTGATTTACGTAGCCAAGGGGAGATTTTTCCTTCCCAATTTATCAACTCTCTTGGTTTTCGAGGGTCTAATTTGTTTCTTTTGATTAACATGGTAAAGCAACCCTTATACGAGTCGAAGTTTGCCACCACTACAGGCCAAAGGCCTCTTCTATACATAAGATGATATTTCCAAACTTGATACCAATTCCTCACTGGCGAACCTGGAAAATATTCTTTGCACCTACCAACCAACCAACCATTAAATTGTTATAACACACACACACACACACCCCAAGGTCCTGTTGAACTGTATGGAATTTCAGAATGAGCATGCAAAGTTCTTTCTTTCACCTGCAACTCTCTCATGAACAGACTATTCTTTGTGATATGCAGGGGCTCTCCAATCCTTATATTCTTAGTGCCTTCTTTCATCTCATGAACATTTGTCTTTCAGTTGCTACTTTTCTTTAGCTTCTTCACAACCTTCTTGATCTTACCCTTGATTACAAATGCAAAGCCTCGACAAGTAGTCACTAAACTGATTCACCATAACTCCATTCTCTCTCCATTTTACAGCCCTAATGACGCAGTAGTAGATCGTGCATGCTAAACACGTTTCTACGAGATTCGAATTCTCGTTTAGCCTATGTGCAGTCAAAGGTAAAGAAAACAGCTTTAGTATCCGATACTGATGTCCAGGCCAATCTTCGTCCAGATGGGCGTGGTTTTCTGGTAAGTTTTGACATAGTTGAACCACCTATTCCGCAACTTGCTGTCATGGATTCTGGAAGTTCTCTTACATGGGTTTGATGCACGCATTGCGAAAATTGATATGAACAATTTCAAGTCTTTGATCCCATGAAGTCCTCCACTTATCGTGCTTCAAAATGTCAAGATATATCATGAGGTAATCTTCCTCTTTATAAATTAAGTAGATCACTTGGTGACTATTGCTTGTATTGGATACGTTATGCTGACAACGCCACATCAATGGGGCGTGCATTGCCTGTGAACAACTGAGATTCGAGACCTCTGATGAGGACAAATAGTGGCGCAAGATGTGATACTTGGATGTGATCAAGTAAGAATGAGAGAAGATTCACTATGAAATGGTGTGTTTGCACTTGGAAACGCACCAATATCTGTAGTCCATAAACTCGCTAGCCGATTCTCTTATTGGATCAGTAAAGTTAATGATCTTTCTTATAGGTTTAATCGATTGATTTTGGGCGATGGGGCAATGGTCGAAGGCTATTCAGCCTCTTTCCAAGAGGAAGGTTGATTTTACTACGTGACGCTCGAGAGCATAAGCTTAGGCGCAGATAGACTTGACATAGATCCTGAAGCATTCTGAAGAACATCCACTGGTGGTGGGGTGATCATAGACTGTGGACCAGAACCTCCATATTTACCCAAAAAACGTGTATAGCACAAGTGCAGCATAACTCTATTAGGCATGTTCTTGAAACGACTTGTAGATGAAGACTGACAATGGAGGTTGTGTTACAGTGGAGCTGTTGACAGACTTTTAAGGCTTTCCTGTTATGGCATTTCATTTAGCTAAGGGGGCTGATCGAGTATCAGATGTTTGAAGCTTGTTTCATCCTGTTAGCCCCAAAGCATTTTGTATATCTATCCAGCCCATTATATCTAATGGTGAAAGGCAAGTTGAAAGCTCTTTAATTGGAGTAGTGGCTCAACAGAACTACAATGTTGCTTTTGAAATTGATGAGGAGGAGATATATTTTCAAAGGATTGATTGCTAACTCCTTGACGACTGATATTACTCGTGATTCTCAACTTAACAAGTTAATTGCTTTGTTACATTTCTTCTTATTGCTTTCATTTCTGAAATAAAATTTTACCAAGCTTAAGGATGTAATGCCATAGATGGCACTAATATAAACAGGCTACAGGCTTGCTGTTGCTTCAAAACGTTTAAGTTACTGTGAATTTTAGTGCAGAATCCCTTAAGAAAACAGGAATAAGAACGTCAAGTAGGATAGTTACAAGCCGTATGATTACACAACTGACATTGGATTGGGTTTTCAACCAAAATAGAAGGTGTCTGTGATTGTGGAGGTTGCCAAGAAGTTTTATTAGGAGCATTATTTTGAGGAGTAGAAGAGAAAAATTTACGAGGCGCAAAACCTCTAAAATTATGAGTTCGAAAACAGGTTTGTCCATTGTTAAATCCTCGACCATCACAGGAAAGACTTCGTGACCAAAGTTGTGTTAGAGCACGCTGATGTGAGAAAGAAGATGACGAAGAGCGTTGTTTTTCAAAGCATCACTCACGAGAAAGAAGAAATAACCAAGTATGATGGTAGAGGTCTGTGAGCAGACATCAAAATATTCAACTGACAGTTCTTCAAGAATCTATAAAGTCATCTCTTCATTTGAAACGAAATGCCTAATGCTTTGTAGAGAATATGCAAGAGATGACATAATTTAAATAATTAGACATGGAGTGCGTATTCTTAATCGCTTTATAAAAATCAGTGGAAAAATGATATGTTTCAGAATTTCAGAACTTACAATGAAATTAAACCAATACACAATAACATAATCTGTTTGCTTCCAATTAGAGTATATGCTAGATTAAGAGATAGTTTTTACCAGCAACATCAACAATAAGAGATTCTGAGCAAGAGGATAACCTATCAATATGATCATAAACAACATTATGACACTTGAAAATATTTATAAACAGATTCTTCCGTATAAAATAGTTGGATAAATCAAGAGTTTTTGGTATACAGTGTTTGATATTTGCAAGTCCAGTGACAGAGTTAGATGTAGAAGAAAGAAGGGACGGGGTTGCTTGGGAAGAAAAAGAGGAAGATGTTGCAGAAGAAATAGGAGTTGCAATACTTAGAATTAGTAGTCAAGAGAGTAAGAAACAGAGAATTTTCCAGTAGGTGAGCCACTAGTTCTACAACGTTGATTTAGCCATGGATACGGGTAGTAATGTACTGTGGGAACAATGGCAACCTTGCAAAACCTGTAATTAGTAATATAAACTGATTTTTGATTATGAAAACTTACCGTGCAACTCTTCCTATTGCTGCAAGTGTGATAGTCTCAACAATATTTGCATGTTCTTAGAGGATATGTGGTGGCACTGTCATATATAGTATCATGGGAACCGGAAAATTCATCAGCTTTTTCTCATCTGGTGGGAAAACTACTTCAATCTCTGACATTGTTTTCGACTATGCACATGATGTTAAAGGGTTTAATCCCTAATTATAGTGGATTACTAGGTTATTTACGTCCAACTAATACTTTTTTGCCAACAAAACTTGGGTATAAATTACAGCGAATGCAATGTTTTGGATTCATCAAAATACTAACGAGAGTTCATGGAAAATACATAAAGTTTTTATGAACATCGATTTTTGTATTCATAATCTGAAATCAATTAGTTTTAGTAGAATAAATAGAGATGATAATATGGTTGCTGATAGTTTAGTCAAGTAAAGAGTGGATGGACATGAATATTATCTTGCTTGGCTATAGTTTTATTATTTCTACTTTGTAATCGCTTTTTAGCCATGGACTAGATGACTCTCTTTATAGTCTAATTCGATTTTCATTAAAAAAAAAAAGAAAGAAAAAGAACTTAGGTATAAATTTTCCTTCTGCATTTGGCAATATAAAGGTTCCTAAATGCTACTATAACCTGTTAGTTTTCAACCCATTAGAAGTTTCGAAATCCCTTCAGTATCTAACCATGGAAGGCATCAGTGTTGGAACGAAAGGTCATAATATTGACCGAAAAGTCTTTGAAAGGGATCCTTTAGGTGATGGGGGAGTGCTCATAGGCTCAGGAGCCACTCTTAGCTCCCTAGCAGAGGGTGCATCTAATCCATTAATTGATGAAATAAGGATGCTTGATGGGGAGCTAAACGACTCAAGATCCTAGTGATCCATCAAACTTATGTTACAGAGGAGATATAAATAAAGATCTCAAAGGATTTCCAGTCATTTTTATTCTTATTATTTATTTTTTATATATATATTTATAAAATTGGGTATTATCCAACCAGTTTGTGAGATTAAATCAATTATTTCTTAGGCTAGGTTAGTATTGGATGATGTCTAGTTTTTGATCGATTTTAAAAATCAGATTTTTTTAATCCACCAACAGCTCATGTTCAATAACAAAAAAAAAAAAAAAGAGTTTTCAAATATGAAAATCAAACTCCTAATTTAATGAATTAGAAACACTTTTTTTTTTTATATGACTCAATCTACAATTTTCATAGGATTTCTAGCTAGTAGTTTCATTTCATTTTACTGGAGTAGCTGAATTTGGGTTAGGTGTAGGTAGCTTGATTATAGAGAATGGCCTCGATGAGTTCTGCATGGCGGTCCGTGCGCCTAACCCATTTCGGTCTAGATGAAATGAATCTTATTGGAGCAATGGCTCAACAAAATTCCATGTTGCCTATTATATAAACAACAACTGCTATATAATGGTTTTGAAGCATTTCGTTAATGTTATTTAGTATTATAGAGATTTCATTATCGTTTTACATAAATAACATAGTTATTATTATATGTAATGTTGTTATTTGTTATTTTATCTCTAATTTTCAGCTTTGTTTTTGTCCCTATTATTCAACATTTTCAGGTTTGAATTTGGTTGAAAAAAAAAAAATCCCTATATTTGCAAATGCGTTCAACTATTTAAAACTATGGGTCTAGCACAAAAAAGGAACTATGCAAAGTTTATTATTCTTTATCTGTTCGAAATTTATCATTATTTTTGTGATTTCTTACCTTAATAATTCCTAATTTTCTTTGGGTTTGGAAGCTTAGTTAAAGAATGATTTTCTTGTATTTGTTATCTTTACAAAGCACTTTAATTAAGGAAAAGTATTTTTTTTTCAAAATATGAATAAAATTAGAAAACTTTCAAAATAGTCAACAAGCTGCTTGGTAATTGCCAATTGACGAAATTAATAAACATCTTAAACTCTAAATCCTAAACTCACGCTCGTTGTATAGTCTCAAGGAGACTACGAACTTATTGTATACGCTAAAACTAATTTACTCAACAGAATATAATATTTGTTGCTCTGGCCATGGCAGCCATACCTGTTTCAGGTATGGAGCTCTATCTTTTCTCATCCCTTGCAGCAAGGTCCTCCTGTCCCTGACTACCACCACTGCCTCCACCCAAGCACAACCTTGGAGATATGTACTTAAACTAATTCACAGGGATTCTATTTTCTCTTTATGTTAATTTTCTAAAAAATTAATAATTTTAATATATTTTTTTATACATCATGATTATATTTAGTGGGTCAAAGTGTACAGTATAAATAAAAAAATATATTTTTTTAAAATTAAGTTGTAAGAAATATATTAAAATTAATAGAATGTAATAAAAATAATTATTAATTTTTTTTAATAAATTTTAATTATATAAAGAATTAGTGAATAAAACACCTAAATTTTATTTTTCAATTGATTATTTTTTTAAAACTTATTTAAAAATCCATACGTTGAGAAAAATAAATTATATTTATTAACAAATAAAATTATATTAAAAAGAAGAATAAAAAATTAATTTCATGATAACTTTCTTCGAAAAGACAAATTGAAGAGATGAATTTTAAATAATAAGAGTAATATAATCCGATATATATATTTATTTTAAAATCTAAAAATATATCATATATATTTCATAATCATCAGCATGCACAAAAAAAAATTGATTTTTCATAATTTTAACACTTAATTACATAATAAAAAAATTAAAATAAATTGCTAAAAAAAAAATAAGCCAAACATGCATGCTTGGTCTATCCAGCGACTCCAAGTACTTCCAATCAGAAGGTAATGCGATCTTAGTTATCATCTGATATGGTAAGCATCGCATTAAATGTTGTTGTCAGAGTATGTTTCTTTATAAGAAAAAAAAGATGTTGTTGCTTTAATATATCATTCAGTACCATACAATGAATAAATTCATGGTCGTATTCATATTTTGTCAGAGTGTACGTGTTATCTTGAAATAAAATGCATGCTTTAACAAATATGTATATGTTTCCATAGCAAGACAGAAAATTGTTGAATACATTTGAAACTGCAAAAGGTTTAAGATACTTACATACCTTTATGAATGGATGCAAAGGGATATGATATCTCCGAATGTTCAACACAAATGGATGCATCTAACAGAATAAGAGTTGGATTTCGTAGCTTAAGCTGAGACATATGATGTGCCTCTAAGCAAGACTCACTGGACACGCGCAGTTAACAAACTGCTCTCCTCTTTACAAGATTTGAATTAATGTCCGATGCCATGTTTCCTCCGAACTTTGCGACAGAGAAGCCCTTTGAATTGAATTGCTTACTGGCAGCCATATTGCTCTGAACTTTTAGTTTCCGCAAACGCAAATTGCTTATTGTCTAATGAGGTAACCAGGTATCAACATTAGGTACAGGTTTGGCATCATATTGCTAGAAATGTTCACTGAAAAAAGAAGTTAGGTTATATGGTTATTTTATGTAAGTACCCCACATTTGACAACGATGTGGCTCTCCTCCAACAAGGCTCCAAAGGGCTAATTAAAAAGGCTTTAGTTGTTCTGAATTTAGCGATTAGTCCTACGCTAAATGTCGTTACAAAGAAAAGAAAATAAGCAGTAAGAATGGAATCTTACGCGTAAGACATCCACAACTACAGGGAAAAGAAAAGGAAATTGTGGGAAACTTCCAGATTTGCAAAATGTATATATATATGCACTTTGTGGAGAAGAACTTATCTTCTTTTTTACAAAATCACGAGAAAACACTTTCCAAAAACTATAAACTAATATTGAGCTTGTTTGACACTGCTGTGGTTGTTGTGCTATATATGCGTTGTTGCACTGTAATTGAATTGCGATTTTATGATCTATTGAAAAATTAAACATATTAAATTATCTTATTATCAATTGTTGTGTTGGGAGTAAAACTACATAAATATTTGACAATCTATAGTTTTAATGTTTAAATTAAAATCACCGTTAAATTAGTAGCTTAAACTTAAGATTTTGTATAAAAAAAATAAAATATATAAGTTAGAAAAAAAAATAAAACAACAAACAAGAATTAAAGCATTATATAGAGATTAATACCTATAAACCATAGCCTATTGTATTTTAGGTTTTTGAAAGATAAAATTGATAATCTGCAAGAGTTATTGTATTGTATTTGTTATGTATGTCTTTCTCTTGTAGCTGTAACTGATATTTATGGCCCTTTCATACTTCTACATTCTTCCTTACTCGCCACGTTATTGAGCTCAACTTTCTTTCTTGGGCTGCAATACTCCATGTTTGCTTTGGGTTGCAATGTTTCGCGTTGTTTGATATTTCCACTCGTTGGTTTCAGCACGTGGCAGGTTCTGCTCTATTCAATCTGTTAAATATTTTGGAGATAATGGCATGCTCTTTGTTTTTTTTTCCCCCTCTTTCCTCTCCTTTCTAAGCAAGTTTATCCTGTTTTAATTCTCACATCAAAACTCTATGAATGTTTTTGTTTAGGCATTCCATTGGAGTCAAGACCAAAGGGAACATAGGATTATGTGGTAGATGCAGGTTCTTCTGCCAAATTATTCATTTCAAATTTAGTTTATCTTTTTTCTTCAGCCCATGTGTATGAACACAAATTTTTTTGCAGATTTCACCTACTCTGTTAAAAATTATCGAGAAAATTTCTCTTCATCTGCCACTCTTCCTTTCTTGTGCATGTGAGAAGCCTTAGATTCTTCCATATATAGTGTGTTTCTTATATCCTCAAGATCACAACACCACAGTAGAGCATCATACTATTTTTCTCCTAGCAACTCATAAAATTTCAAGGTAGACAGAGACAGAAATGAGTTCTTTCATTGCGAAATCATGGCCTTAACCAATCAGCAACTGTTTAGCATAACCTTCACAATCCTTTTTTTACCTTGCATAACTTAATGTAAAACATCGACAATTAGTTACCAAATCAGTTGATCGTCACTCTACTTTGCCCCCACTTGACGACTCCAAAACCGATGCTCAAAACTATCTTCTTACTAACAACTACATATTTCTTGTGTATTTCTCCATTGGAGAGCCAGCTATTTCACAACTTGCTGCCATGGACACTGGAAGTAACCTAAAATTGGTTCAATGCATTGGCTGCACCGAGTGTAGGCCACAACATGGTCCAAGATTTGATCCCTCAAAGTCCTCAACCTTTCACAATTTACAATGCTCATTTGATCAATGTGGCCATCCATCCATCTATTCATGAAATTCTGAATACCCTGATGGTAATTGCACATATCACATAGAATATGGTGACCTTAAATAGTTGTAAATAACGACTGTTACGTTATATAAAGATCGTTATGTAACGGTTTTGGAACATCATATTATCGTTATTTTAGTATTATAATAAGTCAAAATCCGTAATAACGATCGCGATCGTTTTTCAACCATCAACGATTTAACAATATAGACCATTCGACAACAAAAGGTGTCATTGCCAACGAACACCTACAATTCGAGACACCTTACGAAGACACAATAGTTATAACGGATGTGATGTTTGGGTGTGGTCTCGAAAATTCGAAAATGTAAAAACCCACGATGCACAGTGGGATAGAGTATTTGGATAAGGCAATTCTATAGAATCTCTAGCATATAAACTAGGCAGTAGATTTTCTTATTGCATTGGCAATATCTCAAATCCTTCCAACAGTTTCAATCGATTGACGATAGGCGAAGGGGTGATTTTCGAAGGTTATTCAACCCCTTACGAAACTAATGGTGGCTCTTACTTCGTAACTCTTGAACCAATAAGTTTAGGAGAAGAAAGACTCAACGTAGATTCTAATGTTTTCAAGAAGACATGTGCTCACCTATCGAGAAATTTTATAATACTCAAAGAATAATTAGTGTATTATATGTACACTAGTATCTCCATGATCTAGTTAGGAAAAATGTCTGAAGTGTGTCAGATGGAATCTCGAAACAGATTACAAATCAAGATAGCCCCAACCCATTATTCTTTCAGGGAATTGAAAGCCAAGAGCTGCAAGGATTTCCAGCCATGACGTTTCATTTAGCTAATGGAGTTGATCTTGTGGTCGATGCTGGAAGCTTAATTATTCTATCAAGCAGAACCAAATTATTTCTGCCTATCAGTAGAACCACAAATTGAACCAAATGTTCCTTCTGTAATTGGGATAACCGCTCAGCAATAGTACAATGTGGCTTTCGACCTCGACAAAGGAAACATATATTTCCAAAGAATTGACTGTGAACTCCTTGGTGATTAATTTCTTTTATTGTAGATTTCAAAATGATGTTATAAATCTATTATATGAATGTGAGTATGTTGTTTTTCTGTTTTCTTCTCAGTTCATCTATAAAAACCTTTCTTCTATTTTCATTGAAATTCGTAAGAACAAAGACAGCAGATATACATCAGATTAAATTCCAAATGAAAGGAGAAACTAACCACAAAGCAGAGATATTTGCAACTTCTATAACTGAAAGATGGTCGTAGAGAGCACCAAACACAGAACCAATAGAACTTTGAGTTGCCATAAAAATTTGCTTCAGCAGGCATTCCCCCAACAAGCTAGCGTAGAACAATTCATTTTCAAAAAGAAAAAATCATGATTTTTGGATTCTTATCTTTTATCGTAACAGGTTGATAATATAATCTGATCGATATGGTGGATTTTAAATTTTTTTGCAGCCCTTCTCGTAAGGAATTACAAACACAGAGTTCATGTATGTTCCAAAAAATAAAAAATAAATCCAGATAAATTTCACCTTCTCTGTTAATATATAATCTTAATAGCTTACATAGACATGTAACCTTTGGTTGGATCAGGCTGGATTGAGCAAAATTCTGATACCATGAAACCATAAAAAGAAAGAACTACAATTACCCAAATGATTAGCTGCAAATTACTTTGATTTTCATAATCATGTTTGCGAAATATGCACATTAATCCGAAAAAGTCAATGTTCCTTAACTTTTATATCCACTTGTTTTTTTTTTAAAAAAAAATCAACATCCAATTTAGGGCATAAGAATATGCACATTAGACGGATTATTAAAATAAATTGACAAAAGGACCCGGTTGAGATATGTAGAAAAGTTCAGGACCTAATTGATAAAATTATCATACTATAAACCTGAAGCAGCAATCTTTAGCTGCTAGAGCCTAAAGTACTGAGATTCGAAGTACGACAACGTTCTAACCTATGAACAAACAAAGAGTGAAACGTTTCAAATCTTCTGAAAAACATCCTTGAAAAACAGACAACGTTCAAATTCCAAGTACCGGAAAACCAATGTCTGTCTCTCGTTCTTTATCGTCTTCTATACAAACTCTGCTCAAAAGTGGGTTCACTCCAACTCTCAAATCCATTAACCAATTCCTTCTCTTTCTCTCAAAATCTCACAAATTCAACTTAATTACTCACTGTTTCTCTCAAATTAACGAAAACAAAATCAAATGCAGCTCCCAAACTCACTCAATTTTCACCTGGGCTCTCTTAAAACTCAACAAATTCGAAGAAGCAGAGCATTTTATGAAGACCCAGATGGAGGAATCTTCACAAGTTTCAAGCTTTGGCACTTGGGATTCTTTAATTCGAGGTTTATGTGTCAATAAAAAGGACCCTGAAAAGGGTTTGTTAGTGCTAAAAGATTGCTTGAGGAATTATGGTATATTGCCTTCTTCTTTTACTTTTTGTTCCTTGATTCATAGTTTTAGTTATAAAGGAAATATGAGTGGAGCAATTGAGGTGTTAGGGTTGATGAATGATGAGAAAGTTAAATACCCTTTTGATAATTTTGTTTGTAGCTCAATAATTTCTGGTTTTTGTAAGATAGGGAAGCCAGAATTTGCTATTGGGTTTTTTGATAATGCTGTAAAAGTTGGAGCTTTAAGGCCTAATATAGTTACTTATACTACACTTGTGAGTGCACTTTGTATGTTGGGTAGAGTTAGTGAGGTTTGTGATTTAGTTTTTATGATGGAGAAAGAGGAATTGGTATTTGATGTTGTTTTCTACAGCAATTGGATTTGTGGGTACTTTAGAGTAGGGATGCTAATGGAAGCGTTGCAAAAGCATGGGGAAATGGTGAAGAAAGGAATATATTTGGATATGATAAGCTATAATGTACTCATAGATGGTTTTGCAAAGGAAGGGAACGTTGAGAAGGCAGTTGGTTTTCTGGACAAGATGATTGAAAATGGGTTAAAACCCAATTTGGTTACCTATACTTCAATTGTGATGGGGTTTTGCAGGAAAGGAAAAATGGACGAGGCGTTTGCTGTGTTCAAGATGGTTGAAAATATTGGAATAGAAGTGGATGAGTTCATTTATGCAGTTTTGATTGATGGTGTTTGTAGGAAAAGAGACTTTGACCATGTTTATCAATTGCTACAGGACATGGAGCTTAAGGGGATTAGTCCGAGCATTGTTACATATAATACTTTGGTCAATGGGTTGTGCAAGATTGGGAGGACATCAGAAGCAGATAAAGTTTCAAAAGGGATACAAGGAGATACTGTTACATACAGTACATTGTTAAATGGGTACACAGAGGAAGAGAACATTGCTGGGATTTTGGAAATTAAAAGGAGATCGGAAGAAGCTGGAGTTTGCATGGATATTGTAATGTGTAACATACTTATCAAAGCACTTTTTATGGTGGGTGCATTTGAAGATGTGTATGCACTGTACAAAGGAATGAATGATATGGACTTGGTTGCAGATTCAGTTACGTATTGTACGCTGATTGATGGATATTGTAAAGCAGGTCAAATTGATGAAGCACTCGAGATGTTTGATGAGGTTAGGAGGACGCTGGCTTCTTCAGTTGCATGCTACAATTCCATTATTAATGGGCTGTGCAAGAATGGTATGGTGGATGTGGCCAAAGAGGTATTCATGGAACTCAATGAGAAAGGTTTGATTTTTGAAGTTGGCATCTATATGACTTTGATCAAGGCAATTTTTAAAGCAGAAAGGGCAGAGGGAGTTTTGAATCTTATTTACAGAATTGAGAATCTGGGATTGGACAAGTATGCCGTTATTTGTAATGAGGCTATCAGTTTGTTGTGCAAGCAGAATTGTGCGCTGGATGCAAGTGAAGTGTACATGGTGCTCAGGAAGAATCATTTGCATGTGACATGTAAGTCTTACTATTCAATTTTAAAAGGTCTTATCAATGATGGAAAAATATGGCTAAGTCAGCTCTTAATGGGTAGTTTTATAAGAGAATATGGCCTTGCAGAACCTAGAGTGAGTAAGATACTGCTGCATTACCTGTGTCTCAAAGACATAAACAGTGCACTTAATTTTCTCAATAAGATGAAGGAGAATGACCCAACTGTCACATTTCCTGTCTGTGCTTTAAAAGTACTTACGAAAACTGGTAGATTTTTGGCTGCCTATGAACTTGTCATGGGAGCTACAGAGAATCTACCAGTTATGGATGTGGTTGATTATTCTATCATTGTCGATGGTCTTTGTAAAAGAGGGTATCCTGTCATGGCTTTAGATCTCTGTGCTTTTGCTGAAAAGAAGGGAATAACTTTTAACACAATCACTTATAATTCAATCATAAATGGACTCTGCCACCAGGGTTGTCTTGTTGAAGCATTTAGGATATTCGATTCGTTAGAGAGAATAAAATTGAATCCATCAGAAATAACATATGCAACACTTATTGACAACTTATGTAAAGAAGGATATTTTCTTGATGCCAAGCAATTGCTTGAGAAGATGCTCCTCGATGGCTATAAAGGAAATACACGCATCTATAACTCATTTATTCATGGTTACTGCAAGTTTGGTCAACTGGAGGAGGCCTTGAAGATTCTGGATGATATGGAGATCAACTACCTCGATCCTGATGAATTTACTCTCAGTTCTGCGATTTATGGTTTTTTTCAAAAAGGCGACATGGAAGGGGCTCTAAGATTTTATTTTGAATACAAAGGGAAAGGTATATCCCCTGATTTCTTGGGATTTCTGCATTTGATAAGAGGTCTTTGTGCAAAGGGGAGGATGGAGGAGGCCAGGAACATCTTGAGAGAAATGCTTCAGTCACAATCTGTTAAGGAGCTAATAAACACAGTCAATACAGAGGTTGAAACAGAATCAGTAGAAAGCATTCTTGTCATGTTATGTGAGCAAGGAAGTATCAAAGAAGCAGTTACTGTACTTAATGAAGTTAGCTCTATGTTTTTTCCTGTTCGAAAGTGGTTTGGCCCTTATAATGAGTCTCAAGAACTGCCGCAACTATCAGAGTTGAATGGTTTTAGTACTGGTTCTTCCAGCATTGTATCTTCTCTCAAAAGAACTGATTTGGATTTGGCATCAGTGGATAAAGCAGATAATATGGTGGAGAACCCTGGTGATATGAAGAGGATGTCCAAATGTAATTACTTTGACTCTTATTATTCTATTATCGCACCCCTCTGCTTGAAAGGGGAGCTGCAAAAGGCTAATATATTAGCGAAGGAGATGCTTGCTAGTTTTGAGGGAGATTGTTAACGGATCAAGACACTTAGGTTCTGGCAAGTTTGCAGCTTCTTCCTTCCATGCAGGACAAGTAACCATTGCCTTACAAATTTCAGGTATGTCTAACTCATTTTCACTTGTTTGTGGTCTCTAACCTGAGATAATGTTATTCACTTTTGTAGTCTATGCTATGTTGCAGTAAAAAAAATCCTGCTAAGAGCAGTTTAACACAATTTTCCACTGTTGTTAGAATTTAATTAAGTCTATTTTTCTATAATAAAAAGCATTCCAATAGATTTAACATTAAGTCAACATTAAAGATTTATTTTAAATCTGTGCATCTGGGTTGTTCAGAAGATGATATAAGGTTAAAGTCTAATGCTATGCTTATACATGTAGAATTATGTGAAAGCCGTCTGTAGATCAGTGCATATATTTGCAGTCATTAGCATCATGAAGAACTCGTTCACTTAAGCCTCACTGTGATAATAACTAGGCATATCCCCAGCCAGTGTAACTTTTGCAAAATACTGAATCTTCCCAATCAGGCAGTTAGTTACTCATCCTATCATGGGGTTCCCCAGTCCCCCTTTCTTCTGGGTTGGGTTTTGCCTTTCAACTGGTAACAGAAAAAAAATTATTAAATTGATTCCAATTAGTATTTGCTTGCCCATGTAGCTATTGCTTTGTCTGGCACCCTTACATTTCTTGTTTGGCCAGAGGGTTGTCTTGTCAAATTCAACCAGATTGGCCTCCTCGCCCTTATTTGAACTGGAACCAAATTTAAATTTTTGCGTTTTCAATGACCAATTTTTAAGCTTTCTATCTTTTTGACTACTTTCTTGTATAGCAGTAGTACACTATACATGACACGAGAAGCCCATTTCTTTTGCTCAGAAATCTCCCCTATTTAACAAAAAAGGTCTCCATTGCCATTCTCTTAAACCTTTCCTGTTTTCTTTTTGAATTTATCCTCATTAAAAGCAACTTTCTGGTGTGAATTCAATTTCATAATTTAAAGTACTAGAACTCGTTTTGGTTGTTCCATGTTTGCAAATTCTTTTGGAGTTCGACAGAAACAATATACAAAAATTTTAGAATTCTTTTCATGTACTTCGTAGTTCTGAAGAAACGGTTACTGGGTGCTTTCGGGAATTGCTTCCAAGGAAGTCAGTAAAAATTTTCTACCCAATTGCCTAGGTATATAAGTATTCTTTCCTCCATTTCAAAATCCAGATTATAGTCCCTTCTTCCTTTTCTTTCTCTTCATATGCTTTTCCTTATGTATCCAAACAGAAATCAATCTGAAATTGATGGAAATGTTTTCATTCAAAGATCTCCCTCCTCTTATCTTCTATTTCCCTCCTTTTCTTTTCCATATTGTCTTTCGTTGTGCATTCTCAATAAGACTTTCAACTGCACAACATCATCCACAAGTAAAATACACTTGACTTTTGTATTCTCTGATGGTTTCATTCTTCTTCTTTTTTCTGGGTATGTATTTATCATTTATAATGTGTTAATGACAAGAATCATCTACACTGATTCAGGGAATGGTGAGGCTAGGCAATTGAATGAATTAAGTAGGATCACCCTCTTCAGCAATCACATATTGTTTAAGGTAAATTATAAAATTCATGATTTTTTAATGCTCTCTCTGTTTTCTTTCTTCTTTCTGATCTTTGATTACCAATTTGGAGTTTTCTTTTGTTATTTTAGGAAGTGTTGATGGAATTGTTTCTCAGTAAGGTGATGCTGGGTGGCTGGACTACAATTTCTGGAATTTTGCAACAGTGCTTGCATGAGCTGGTGGATTCAGTCTTTTGAGGGATCTTGATCTTTCCAATTTCCATGGCCCCATCAAACCAAATTACCATGGAGACCACAGAACCTTTCAAGTGTCATCCCACATGCTTGGGGTCTTGTTATGAAAATCAGTAAGGTTCAGCTTCTCTCTGTAATTTGTTTCTTTTATGGCCATAGTGTGCTGCCTTTTATGATTTATGTTGATGATGTTGCCTCTAACTTCCAAGATTGCTAGATGGAATTAGATAGTATTCAGGTCTTAAGCTTAAGATGGTTTGTGAAAATTGGCAGGGACATCCCAAAATGTCCTCTGCAAAGCAAGGACGAGTTATAGAAAAAGTTGCATGGATCATGAAATGTTATTCTGATGAAGTTTCCCTCATAAAGAGGGGTACCTAGCAACTAAGCTTGGCTATTTGGGCATCAAAGTTGGCTGCTGACACAGCAAGGTGGTGCTTTACTGCACAGCTACCCAACAGGTTAACTTCTGGGAATATTTGTGTTGGTGTTCTGGATTGTAATCTTCTGCATCCAATATCAGAACGAGATTCCGGCGATGCACTCAGGTAACCTTGATTTCATCAGTTTCCTGTCCTAGGTCATATATATCAAATGAATCGGAAGTCTGAAAATCTCTAACATCATCAATAATAGCATGAGTTATTAAAATTTCAGGAAATTTTATTTATTTTTTTTTATTATTATTTTTTTTTTTGCTGATTTTCTTTCATACACAAACATATGGCTACTAAAGATCTAATACGAAAAAATTTTGTTGCCCATTTGAGAGATAAATAGAATGAGGACCAAATAAGGAAACAAACAGATCAGAAATTGTCCATAAAAAAACCATATGAAACTTAATTAACAAGGCTACAGTAATATCAATCATCCAGTAGCTCACAGCTAATCCTTTGGAATTATATCCTCTTATCATTAAGTTCATAACCACATTGTAGTGCTGTTGTGCCGTTATTCCAATTATAGACCTCTCCACCATGCTACTATTGGAGATAATGGCCAAATAGAAATGCATAATACATTTTCTTTCCCTTGATAAAACAAGCTTCCAGCATCTAACACTAGATTAGCACTTGGATTTAAATTGATAAATAAGATTTTCTCGCATAATTTTAGCGTGACAAGTTTTAAATATACAGTTAATTTATTTGGTTCACCAAACTTCTTACAAATAAGAAGGAAAAAAATGTTAATTACTCCTTGATACTAATGTTGTGATGTTTATAGAGAATGGTGGAAGCACAATTGGAGGCATGAGGTTCGACTTCATTCAAATTAACTAGGGTATCATGTCTCATATCTCTTTTTATTCATCGAGTTTTGATGCATTTGTGTTTGTCACAATCCAATATATTTTACTCATTGGTTGCATTAAATGTCTATGATCAGGTTCCTGGAGAGTGGTTTTCATATTCCAAGGTGATTCTTCATCTTTTTTTTATTATATATTAAATTTATCATAAACAACTCAGTGATATATTGGTTCAATGTAGGCCATTGCATTGTTGCCCCTGCCACTTTTGTTCTACTGTATCTTTTAAAAGATAACTGCCCATCTTCAGGTTAGTTTATTTATACCTGCTGCATTGAGTAGTAATTGCCTCTATTATGGCTCTGGCATTCCTCAAAATAGTAATTGGTTTCTCATACATGAAGATGAAATATTTTTATAATTCCAATATTAATTGGAGTCAGTATTCTGCCAAGAATTTTTGTCAAAAGCGATGATCATGGAACTTCTTTCTTCCCCAAGAGCAAAGACAAACCTTGTATTTTTGGAATGGTCAATATTCAGTAGGAAAATGATATGTATTTTTGGAATTACCCTCTTTATAGATAATCCAAATTAATAGACACGATGACAGGTTAAGATGATTTATTTCTTTCTTAATTTCTTATGGTTGAATTTTATAAATTGACCTAATGATTGGTTTAATTATCGGAAGATAAAATAAAACTAAACCTTCTATAAATACATAAATAAAAGAGAAGTCAATCCTCACTACAACTCTGAAAATAAAATAAAATCAGAAACCAACTCAGACATACTGTCTAGAATTATTATTATTTTTAATTCCTTCCATATATATATATATATATGGAAGGAATTAAAAATAATAATAATTCTAGACATATATATATATAGTTTTATTTATTTATTTTCCTTACCTAAGAACATATTCTTTGGGACTAAAACCTTTTTATGAGTTCGTATTTTTATCTATAAATCAAATAGATATGTGGCTTAATTATCCGATCAAAAAATAGATACATTCTAATAAATCTTGTTCTGGGAATAAAAAGCGTATGGAAATTTTGGATCAATAAAAGTGTTTTACTTATTTACTTTATAATGATGTTGCTAGCTATTGTTTTTCTCCTCCATTTTCAGCAATATCTTTTTTTTTTTTACACAGCTATTAATATTAGTTTATTGGATACACATAACAAAAAATAAATTAATTTACGAATAAAAGTTAGTTTTAAGCAGAATTCTTATTAAAGAATAGCTAAAGATAAGGAAAAATTAAATAGAATTAGTGTTGGGCTTGGGGTATCAACAAATAAAAAAAGATAAGAAGAATAACAGTAATTAGCTCTTTTATTTTTCACTCGTCCTTTCTAGCTTCTTCAATAATGGCAGCCAAGAAGTCAATGAGTTCTGTGATTTCACCACTTTTGCTCTTGCTTTTCCTAATAGACATTACTTTCAACTATTTTATGGCATCCGCACTTTTATCCGACAAATTCGATTCCAAAATTTCTTCCCTAGGTTCTCTCTTCCTCTCTGGATTTACATAATTAATCCATGCCTGCTTCTTTTAATTATTTTTTAATAGTAAGTTATTATAAATATTCGCATGCAGTTTTATCTCCTCTATACGTAATTTTCTTCATCAAGTAGTAATTCTTGTGTATTAATTGTATGTCACATGTTTTAACAATGTGATAAAACTCTTGAAAAAGGAAAAGATTTTTTGAGTCATGACTAGTTGGTGCCTAGAACTTCTGTCTTGTTTGTTTTAGTCCTTTGGCGTTGTGTTTAGTAAACCATTTCAGAAAAATTTTATGGCGATTAATTGGTTTATAAGACATCTTCTATGAAAATTTCCCACAATTTATTATCTTTCCTGATGCGTATGAAAATATAAATTTGAAGTAGTAAGTGTATGCAGATGTTGTGGATAATTATCTACATACTTAAT